CTGGTCTATGCCACCCACAGGATTATTTACTGGCTAGCTGCTTTCTTACCTGTGGCTACTACTCAAAAGCAGACAGGGACCATCTCAGTCTCAGTAAAGTTTCCCTGCAGAGTAGGCTCCAAAGACAGACAAAGTGAAGAAATGGAAAGGCCTAGGACAGGGAATCAGGAATCCCAGGTTCAATTCCTAGCTTTGCTCCTAATAGACTGAAGAGAGGAGACTAATTTCTCACAGGCCTCCAGTTTATCAATCTGTATGATGAGGGCCATCTCTGAGGTCACCTTCAGCTTTTTTTTTTGTTTTTGAGACAGAGTCTTGCTCTGTCACTAGGTTGGAGTGCAGTGGCATGATCTCGGCTCACTGCAACCTCTACCTCCTGAGTTCAAGCGATTCTCCTGCCTCAGCCTCCCAAGCAGCTGGGACTCCATGCACGTACCACCATGTCCGGCTAATTTTTGTATTTTTAGTAGAGACAGGGTTTCACCATGTTAGCCAGGACGGCTCAAACTCCTGACCTTGTGATCTGCCCACCTCGGCACCTCGGCCTCCCAAAGTGCTGGGATTACAGGCGTGAGCCACCACACCTGGACTTTTTTTTTTTTTCAGACAAGGTCTCCCAGGCTGGAATGTAGTGGCATGATTTTGGCTCACTGCAACCTCCATCTTCCTGGACTCAAGTGATCCTCCCACCTCAGCATCCCGAGTGGCTGGGACTATAGGTACATGTCACCATGCCCAGCTAATTTTTGTATTTTTTGTAGAAATGAAGTTTTACCATGTTGGCCAGGCTGGTCTCGAACTCCTGGGCTCAAGCAATCCTCCCATCCCACCTCAGCCTCCACAAATGCTGGAATTATAGGCGTGAGGCACTACGTCCAGCCTTTTTTTTCTTTTTGAGACAGGGTCATGTTCTGTCTCAAAAAAGAGCTGGATGAAGCACAGTGGCGCAATCTTGGCTTCCTGCAACCTCCACCTCGCGGGTTCAAGTGATCCTCCCACCTCTCAGCCTCCCGAGTAGCTGGGATTACAGGTGCCCACCACAATGCCCAGCTAATTTTTTGTATTTTTTTGTAGAGACGGAGTTTCGCCGTGTTGCCCAGGCTGGTCTCAAACTCCTGAACTCAAGCAATCCACCCGCTTCAACCTCCCGAACTGCTGGGATTATAGGTGTGAGCCACCATGTCCTGCCATTTTCGGCTTCCTGACTTGAAATGTCTCCCAGTAAATAAGTATTAATTAGTCCACTGCAGGCCTAAAGAGAAAAAGATGAGTGAGCCTCTTCCCAGTCCTGAAGCTGATCAGTCTAATGAACTGGAAATGACAACATACTCTTATCTTTCTGGGCCACTTCTATTAGCCTCATATACTGCTGAGAGAGTCCAAAGTGCTGGGCTAAGCCAGGGAAGGTAAGAGCAGGCAGGTGACTGCTAAGACCCTTCTGTTCTACCTGTCTGACACCTGATGTCCTACAGAGGCCAAAGGCTGTATTTATGAACAGTGAAGCCAGTGGAAGCCATACTGACCTGGGGGTCAGAAAACCTAAGTTCAGGTCCTACTTCTGCCACTAATATGCTGTGATCTTAAGCAAGTTATTCTTCTCTCTAGGCCTCAGTTTCCTCATCTGTATACGTAATGGCTAAGCTGGTCAATCTATTAAGATCCCTTATAGGCTGGGCATGGTGGCTCACGCCTATAAACCTAGCACTTTGGGAGGCCAAGGTAGGCGGATTGCCTGAGGTCAGGAGTTCAAGACCAGCCTGGCCAATGAAACCCCATCTCCACTAAAAATTCAAAAAATTAGATGGGCATGGTGTCGGGTGCCTGCAATCCCAGCTACTCAGGAGGCTGACAGAAAATCACTTGAACCGAGAGGCAGAGGTTGCAGTGAGCCAAGATCACACCATTGCACCCCAGCCTGGGTGACAAGAAACTCCATTTCAAAAAGAAAAAAAAAAAAAGATCCTTTACAGTGCAGTCTATGATTTTTTTATCTCCTCATGCCATGTAGCTAATAGTCACCTGAGTGAGGTGACCTATGACCTGCTTGCTTTCTTACCCCTAGGCCTGGCAACTTCCACAACCCAACTGTCTTGAGACAACCTTTGGCCCAGGGTAGCTGAAATGGACTTTTAATCTGGGGTCAGAGTCCCCACCAATCTCCACACTACCAATGAGTGCTAATGTTTCACTTCTCTAGCATAGAACATGGACTCCTAGCCTTCAACCACGAGACTGGGTTCAGGGTGGTCACCCTGAAACTTCTCATAACTTCCCCTCTATGGCCTTGGGCAGGGACTTACTCTTGGCTTTTTTGAAACCACAATATAAACTAAGTAGGGAACTTTGAAGCTTTCAGATACCAGAGATTTTGGGTTGACTGACAGGCTCCAGAAAGTGAGGGAAGGAGGAGAGAGGAGTGGACCTGGGATCCCACCTCAGCCCCACACCTACAGACAGCAGTGACGTAGAGGGTGTCTACAGAGCCACACCCCATGTTTGTGGTTGTGGGGTGGGGAAGACAGATGTCTGGCTGCCTGGATGGTGACTACGGCCAAAGGGAGGTGCTTCCACTGGAGCCTCACTCTGCCCACAAATACCAGAGATATGCCCTCATTTTTCTCTTCATTTCTCAGACCCTTAGAAGGAAAGAAAGAAAACTAACATTTTCTGGGCCACTATTTGTGTCAAGCGCTGTGCTAGGCACTTTCACATATCTGATCTCACTTAACCCCCAAAGTAATGTTGGGAAGTGGGAGTTACTGTTGTCCTTAACAGTGAGTAAACAGGCTCAGGGATTCAGGATCTTGCCCAAGGTCATGAAGCTAGCAAGTGTAATTCCTAAGTCTGGCTTTTTCCTAATATATCGATTTGCTCTTCACCCCAAGATCTGGTTGACTGCCTGAGAAGCATGTAGTAGGAATTCTCATGCCGTAGCATTCTCTGACAAATCTGAGCTCTTCCTTCCAAGGTCCCATAAATGCAACTGGGAACTCCTTTCCCAGATCTCAAGACCACACCCCTCCCTGGGCCCTAATCCCTGGTGACTGCTCCTCAATTCAAAACACTCCAGGTCCCCACTAAGTTCTCACAAGCGAATCCCTGGGGAACTGTGACAAAGCATCAGTCAGGGTGATGGTTCAGAATGAGGGGCGCCCTCTCTCTAAGGCCTGGACTAAGCTTAGAGGAGACAGAGCCAGTGGGTAACAGGGAACTCCCCTGAGGGGAGGGGCCTGGATTTCTCCAAGGGAGAAAGAGTCCAGGTGAATAAGAGGCTCTGTGGCTGGGGAAAATCCCGGAAGTGATCGGTGTTCTTAGACAGTGAAAGCGCTTCCATAAGTCATGAGAGAGTCTGGGGTGACCTTGGACAATCTCAAATGGTCAGAAAAGGGGAGAAAGGACATCCTCTGGAGTAGGGTCATGGCAGGGTCCCAGAAGCTCCTATTGGTGACTGGGATGGAAAGCACACATCAGGAGGGAGGTTTGTCAGTTCTGCACACAACACTGATCTCAAGTGACAGTACAGCTGGGATGGGAGTGGGGTATGGAGTCCATCTTTCCTGAGGGGCCCGACATCCCGTACGCTTTATCTTTGAGGCCTGGGCTCGGGGGGTTCTGTGGGGCAACGTGTGGCCCAGCATGGAGGGAAGGTGCTGTTCCACGGCCCCACATTTCTCTGTCTGCCAGCTGGGTGCCTGGGTGCTCTCCGGATAGGGCATCTGGCGGTGCTATATGAACAGGAACGCTGTTGTCTCCCTGCCTGCCCCCCTCCCATGCCCAAGATCTCCCTTTGGGAGGAGGCGCATGTCCCCAGGACATGCACAGAGCCCACAACTGGCTCCTGTGGCTGCTGGAGCTGACTGTCTGTCCTGATAGTGGGGTGCTGTTGCCCAGTAGGTGCTCTGCCCAGAAGGGGGAGTACCTGCCCACCTGTTGCCAGTGCCAGTGGAGGAAGCTGTGTATGAGGGGGTAGGGGCCCCATTCTCTGACCCTTCCATGAGGAGAAGAGACTGTCTTTCCCAGGTTGGGGCTGTGTGGGAGGGAAGTGACCAGTGTCAGTCCATCCAGAGGTCTGTCTGCCTCGAGGAAAGGGTCAGTCTGTCCTGGGACGGGGTGGGGACAGGGCAGTCAGTCCTGAAGTCGGTCTGAGGTCTCTTGGTGTGGGGCAGTGGGGTGGGGAGACAAGGGCGTTTGTGGGAGGGAAAGGGATGGAGAATACGTGTCTATGGACGGGAGTGGGGGGCAGCCATCTGGGGGCCTGTCGGGATGGCAGAGACAATCATCCCTAAGGCCTTTGTGGCAGGGGTGGGTTTGGGGCAGTGTCTGTCGTTCTGTCCCACGGCTGGGAGGAGGGCACTGACCCTTCTGGGGGCGGGTCAGTCTGTCTGGAGGGTGGAGGTGGCGGGGTGGAGGTGTGGGCCCGTCCGCCCCTGGGTCGGAAGTAGGACGGCGAAGGGGGCGGGTCTGGAAAGGCAGGGGTGGTGGGGGTGGGGCAGAGGAGGGAAGGGGGATTGGTGGTCCCTGCTTGGGAGGGGAACGTGTCGGCGAGTTCCGAGGGCGTCTCCTTCCGCGTCGACGCCCCCCCTCGTGGGTACCGCGCTTGGTCCCGACCCCCGGCGCTACTCACGCGCCCTCGGCGCCCTGCGAGCCCACGATGAAGCCGAACTTGTCGATGCGGCGCTCAGCGAAGCCGTTGGCCTCGGAGTCGGACCCGAGAGAGCTGAGTTCATCGGTGGTTGCGGCGTCGGGGCCCTGGGCCAGGCTTTCCCGGGTTCCCGACAGGCTTTCCCCGGCCGCGGGCGCGCGCGGCCCATTCTCTCCGTTGCTCTTCGCCATCCCGGCCGCGCCCGCCGCCTGAGCCCCAGCGGCCACCTCAGCCACCCGGCCGCCACCGACGCCCCGCCCACGCGCGGAGCCGATTGGCCGCCGCATGGACGGGGGCGGGGCTCCAGGCCCTCCCGGGAGCTCTCCCCCCATGCCCAATGGGCGCCGCAGACCCCGGGCCCCGCCCACCTTACCCCGGCGGGCGCCGACAGGCCCGACGTGAGGGGGCGGGGCAGCCGTCACCACAGCCGTCCCCGCCCTCCTCCGGGCTGCCAATCACAAGAACTCACCTGGACGAGCTCGGGCCTTTCCGGGTTGGCCCAAAGCCGGGCCTGTCACCTCACTGCAGAGCATGAGCCGGAGGCCCAGGGCTTCCTCTATGGATTCCTCATCTGCCTCCTCAGCCCCGCTCCTCGCGAGACCCCACGGACGTGGGTGGGGATTGTTCCGCTCATTGATTTATGAGGAACTTTGAGAAGACCCAGGTGAGTTCAGGGACGCAGAGAGGCTTAAAGGCCCAGCCTGAGCCAGAAGTTTGGCAGTCCCATCGCACTCACTGCTTCTGGCGCCTTAAATTATCTCGTGAGACCTAATCATTAATAATAATCAGCGTTTACTGAGCCACTCACTGCCCGAAGCTCTACCTACTTTCTCCTGGAATCTTTTTCCCAGCAGTTTTATGGAACATAATTAACATACCATACATTCACGTTTAAAGTGTACAGTGATTTTTAGCATATTTACAGAGTTGTGCAACCATCACAATACTCTAATTTTAGAACATTTTCATCACCCCCCAAAAGAAACTCCTACCAATTAGCAGTCACTCTGCATCCTTTTTCCCCCAATCCCTGGCAACCACTAATCTGCTTTCTGTTTCTATAGATTTGCCTTTTCTGGGTATTTCATATAAATGGAATTATACAATATATGGCCTTTTATGTCTGGACTCTGTTCTCTTTGTCATCTTCAAGGTTCATCCACAGTGTAGCATGTATCAGTGCTTCTGGATTCACATCTGCCCCAGGTATGTCTGGCTCCTACCCTCCCGTTCCTGGGATAGGCCCACACGGACTTGAAAGACTCATACTGCCCCTCCTGGGAGTTAGGACTAGACCAGATTATGTTTATCCATTCATCAGTGATGTCCATTCACGGGTTTCCAGTTTTTAGCCATTATGAATGCTGCTGCTCTGACCATTCAGGTACAAGCTTTTGTGTGGGCCTATGTTATTTCTCTTGGATAGATGCGGAGGAGTGGAATTTCTGGGTCATATGGTAACTGTTTAACCTTTTGAGGAACTGGCAAACTGTTTTCCAAATTTGTTGCAAAGTGTCTTGTGATCTTTTAGCAATGAAGTATATACCATTATTAGTCCCATTTTACAGTTAAGGAGACTGAGGTAAAGTCAGTCAGTCAGTTGGCCTAAGGTCCCAAAATTACAGAATTGGCTGTAAATAGAGCCAGGATTTGAACTTAGCTCTTACCAACTGCTTATATTTGCAGGGATGGGCCAATTTTATCTATATGGGCTTAGCCCCCAGCAGCTGACTTCTGACCCCCGAGATTGTCAACTCGTGGATCTATAATATAATGATATCTCCTCACTTATGTCTAGTACTTTATGGTTTACAAGTCACAGTATGTTGTCATCTGATACTCCCTGCAGACCTGTGGGAGAGACAGCCTAGAGAGGTGAAGGGACCAGAAGACTCAGGCCTGGCTGCAGGGCCTCAGACAGACTCCTCAGGGCCCCAAGGCGAGCCCCAAGAGGGGGTCTTGACCCTTGAGTGATTTCACCTTGACACCACGTGGCCCAGACATTCTTGATGACTTCATTGTGCAATCCTCACATTCCATGGGTTTCTGGCTTTCTGTAAACAAGGCAAGAGCAAATATGGGAGTGGGCATAGGCTATTTTGGTCTTAAACCCTCAGTCGAGGAGGATGTTCCTTCTCTTCAGTGACTCCAGACACAGTGGTGGGCTCCAATCCCAGCTCCCAGGAGGGGCAGTATGGGTCCTTCATGGTGGTGTGGGCCTATCCCAGGAAAGGGAGGGGGAGGAGCCAGACATACCTGGGGCAGATGTGAATCCTCAAGTACAGCAAAGTATCCAAGACCCTTTGACTTCGTAATTCTATTCCTAGGGTCATATCCCAAACATGTTCTTATTCAGCTCTGTGAAGGCACAAATACAGAGATGTTCACCCCAGGGATATTTGGGGAGGGGCAGATTAGAGACCCTGAGTGTTCATCTTTAGGAGATTGCATAGATGTTACTCCACTGATGCTCCAGATTCTGATTTTCTTTAATCAAATTACCAGGATTTGAATTTCAGCGACTGAGGTGGCGGTTGGAGCTCAGGTGGCAGGCAAGGCTGGGAGGCCCAACGCATGGGGGCAGGGCAGCTGTCACCACAGCCCTCCCCACCCTCCTCCAGGCTGCCAATCACAAGAACTCACCTGGACAAGCTCCGGCCTTTCCAGGTTGGCCCCAAGTGGAGCCTGTCACCTACTGCAGAGTTGATGATGCCAAGTGGCCCAGACATTCTTGAGCAAATGACTTCTCTCTGAGCCCATTTTCTCACCTATAAATTGGAAATCCTGAAAAAATACATCCTTCGAAGAGTTGTTCTGAGACTTTACTGTAACAGTATGCACTAAGCACCTGGCACATGGAGAAGTCCAGTAAATAATGGCCAGAAGCCAGGCACAGTGGCTGATGCCTGTAATCCCAGCACTTTGGGAGGCTGAGGTAGGTGGATCACTTGAGATCAGGAGTTCAAGACCAAGCTGGTCAACATAGTGAAACCCTGTCTCTACTAAAAATACAAAAATTAGCTGGGCATGGTGATAGGAGCCTGTAGTCACAGCTACTTGGGAGGCTGAGGCAGGAGAATCGCTTGAACCTGGGAGGCGGAGGTTGCAGTGAGCTGAGATTGTACCACTGCACTTCAGCCTGGATGACAGAGCAAGACTCCATGAGAAAGAAAGAAAGAGAGAGAGGGGAAGGAAGGAAGAAGGAAGGAAGGAAGGCCGGCCAGTCAGGATGGTGGCATTTGAAGTTTGCAAAAACACTTGCAAATTCATTATTGTTTTAAGTGTTCCCCATTACAGCCTGTGGCTACAGCAGGTGATTCTGCCCAATTTAATCTATGGCACATGGCTTGGGAGACTTCACTTCATGGCTGTACCCCTCAACAACTGGGTATCCTTGTGCAAAATTGCTAACTTTTGTATTTTTTGTAAAGACTAGGTCTCACTGTGTGACCTAGGATGGTCTGGAACTCCTGAACTCAAGTGGTTCCCACCTTGGCTTCCCAAAGTGTTGGGATTACAGGCGTTAGCCTCCATGCACGGCCAATGGATTTAACACACCTATAACGAGCCAGACATTGGTGCAGGGGTGTCCAATCTTTTGGCTTACCTGGGCCACACTGGAAGAATTGTCTTGGGCCACACATAAAATACACTAATGATATAGCTGATGAGTTTTAAAAAATTGCAAAAAGAAAATCTCATAATGTTTTAAGAAAGTTTATGTATTTGTGTTGGGGCACATCCAAAGCGATCCTGGGCCATGGGTGGGTTGGACAAGCTTGCTCTAGTGATTGAGAGAGATGGAGTCCTGGCCCAATAGAGTTTACGGACCAGTGGAGGAGCAACAACATGAACAAGCATAGAACATTTGTCAGGCAGTGAGGGTAAGAAAATAAAGCCAGGTAAGGTATGGAGAATGCTGGAGTAGGTGTTGGGGAGGTGGTGGGGGCCGAAAATGAGGGAGCTCCTCTGCAGGGCTGAGAATAGTATACTAGAAGCATGGCTGCAGATGCTGTTTCCCCTTGAAGAAGAAGCAAGCTGTGTTGTTAGATTGAAGTAAGAAAGCAGGGGGAGCAGTGAGCCAATGAATAAATGATCAAAAAGGATGCCTGCAGAATCATGTGGTTCACTGGAATACAGAATTTAAGAGGGCTTAGGCAATGCTGTGGAACATCCTGGTGAACTGGCTGTTATAGACATTCTTTTGAAGATAGAATGTGTTGATATCCCAGAGTCTCATCTTGCTTGGGTCATTCCCAGCAGCTGGGCTCAAGGAGCAGACATAGGCCTCTCTCCTGGATCCTGGAATGTGTAGTTGGCATGTGCCCAGGAAACCTGTGAGCACTGGCCATGAGAAAAAGTCCAAATGCCTTATTTATTTATTTATGAGATGGAGTCTTGCTCTGTTGCCCAGGGTGGAGTGCAGTGGCACGATCTTGGCTCACTGCAACCTCTGCCTCCTAGCTTCAAGCGATTCTCTTGCCTCAACCTCCTGAGTAGCTGGGACTACAGGCGTGCACCACTGTGCCCAGCTAATTTTTGTATTTTTAGTAGAGACGGGGTTTCACCATGATGGCCAGGCTGGTCTCGAACCCCTGACCTCATGTGATCCACTCACCTCAGCCTCCCAAAGTGCTGGGATCACAGGAGTGAGCCACTGCACCCAGCCTCAGATGCCGTATCTTTAATTCAGAATAGACTGCAGGGTTGAGGCTCAAAAGGTAGACAGCTGGTACCCAGCAGCTTATGAAGCACAAGGAAACTATAAAGCTTATTTATCACAACATGGATAACAGGAATCTTTTATTAATATTCCAAGTAGCAGAAAACACTCAAATAGGCTTAAGCCAAACCTATACTTAGTGGGCTCCATAGCGTAAAACGATTCATCAATGTGGTAAGTTTTAGGAGCAGTTTGAGCTAGAGGTTGTAGCACCAGCACTATGGGCTCATGTTGCTCTTCCCTCCTTTTTTCTTTGTCCTCCTTCAGCTGGACAGTAAATAGTTGCCAGGAGTGGTGGCAAGAACAGCTGGCTGCTTCATCCTCAAGTGAGTGCCCTTTATGGTACCAGCTCCAGGCCTCACACATCCACACAAGTCTTCTGTTAGGTTCTGTTCAAAGGTGAGGAGGCTGCATTCCTTCATGGGTCAACCATTTATACATCACAGTATACTTTTTTTTTTTTTTGAGACAGTCTCGCTCTGTCACCCAGGCTGGAGGGCAGTGGTGCAATTTCGGCTCACTGCAACCTCTGCCTCCCAGGATCAAGTGATTATCTTGCTTCAGCCTCCCACATAGCTGGGACTACAGGCATGTGCCGCCAGGCCTGGTTGATTTTTGTATTTTTAGTAGAGACAGGGTTTCATCATGTTGGCCAGGCTGGTCTCAAACTCTTAACCTCAGGTATATCCCATTATACATTTAAGTATCACATGCATACCCCTGATCTAATCAACAGGAGCTGTTCAGGGAGAGGGAACACTGATGGGCTTAATGGAATTCAGCTTAAGGCAACAGTAGTAACAGTATTCTCCGTAATGATCTATTTTATTAAAAAATAAAAACTTTTTTAGAGATGAGGTCTCGCCATGTTGTCTAGGCAGACTTCGAACTCTCTGGCTCAAGCAATCCTCTTACCTCAGCCTCCCAAGCAGCTGAAACTACAGGTGTGCCACCGTGCCTAGAATGAGTTTATCTTGTCCTGCTTCATGGATTATAGCACCCAGGGGTACCTAGAATTGTTGACTTACATGCTGGGAGCAGCGAGCAGAGCATGGTGTCAGGGCATCCACCAGGCAGAATGCTCTTTTATATAACAATGCAATTTTTTTTTCTTTTGATACGGAGTTTTGCTCTTCTTGCCCAGGCTGAAGCACAATGGCATAATCTCGGCTCACTACAACCTCCACCTCCTGGGTTCAAGTGATTCTCCTGCCTCAGTCTCCTGAGTAGCTGGGATTATAGGCATGCACCATCACGCCCGGCTAATTTTGTTATTTTTAGTAGAGATGGGGTTTCTCCATGTTGGTCAGGCTCGTCTCAAACTCCTGACCTTGGGTGAGCCAGCTGTCTTGGCCTCCCAAAGTGCTGGGATTACAGGCATGACCCACCGTGCCCAGCCTCTAATGCAGAATCCTACAATGAAGAATTTAAAAAATGCAACAATGTTGAATAGTAAAGAGTAAATCTCCCTATCAGGTAGACGTCATGATCATAACTCCAAGATCTTACATTTTGCTATTATTTTTCAAAAGTAAACTTCTAGGCCAGGTGCGGTGGCTCTCACCTGTAATTCCAACACTTTGGGAGGCTGAGGTGGGTGGATCACAAGGTCAGGAGTTCAAGACTAGCCTGGCCAGTATGGTGAAACCCCATCTCTACTAAAAATACAAAAATTAGTTGGGCATGGTGATGTGCGCCTGTAGTCCCAGCTACTTGGGAGGCTGAGGCAGAAGAATCGCTTGAACCCAGGAGGCGGTGGAGCTGAGACTGCGCCACTGCACTCCAGCCTGGGCAACAGAGGGAGACTGTCTAACACACAAAAAAGCAAACTTCTAAAAATCTTATACACTGGCACGTGTGTGTGCCCAGGAGTAGAGCTATATTATGCTTTCTTGTCTGATTTTTTAATGACAGGGATAAATGAAATACGACATAATTGCTAATAGTACAACACATACTTCCATCCAAGTATATAGCCTAACATAACCCAATGTGACCATTTAATATATTCACTAATACAATATATCGATATTAAAGTGAAATGGTATCAGTGGCCTCCTCTAAAAGTACGTGACAAGTACTTTAGTGGGTAGAACCGAAAGTGAAATTCTTTAATTTCTACAATTCCAGGAGCCCTGTGTGTACAAGTCTTCAAAATTATGATTTGAGTCAAGTCCCGCCCCACCCGTTTTCCCAGCAGTCCTGCGACAGGAGCATTTATTCCTATTTCATAGTATGGTCTGGTGGAGCATTGCAGAGTGTGGTCTCCAGGAAGGGGTGAGCTGCTTTGGTTTTCCAGAGTATTCACTGGCTACATGACCTTGGGTATTCTACCTCGTTTTAAAAATGGGGCAGATAATCCTCAGGAGATTACAAGAAGAATCAGAAAAGCTGTGCAAAGCAGCTTTGTATTATAAACAGCAGGACGCTATGTACATGCTGTGGGTCCTAAACCAGTGCAGTGCCAGGCAGCACACTGGGCCTGTGGCCACCAATGTTCACAAGGCCTCATGGTCAATGGAGCTTCTGCGTCTGAGTAAGCCAAGACAGATGTTCATTCAGGAACTCCGGGAAACTGGATTCACTCTCTAGAGGGCAGCTCAAAGGGCCCATTCACTCACATTCCACCCAGCAGCATTCCTGGCCTCCGGTCACAGACTCAGCCACAGAGGTTCTGCAGGCTTTGCCAGTCTGTGGGGGTGAGTGCCCTGACACCATGACCTGCCCACTGCTCCCAGAAAGAAAGGAGAGCTTGGAGTATGAGACTCCCCAGATCTCCTGACCCCCTTCCTTCTTGGAATGAGACTCAGGTAGTGCTCAGGGGGATTTCTGGTTTTGGCCACGGACAGGCAACCAGCAGTGGCCTCACTTTAGGCACCCAAACCACAAAGCCCACTTTGGGAAGCCAAATTTCAACTCTGGCCCCTGGGGCAAACTTCTAGCAACCAGGCCAGAGGCAAATGTCAGACACCGTAAGGAGTGACATCCCATCAGTCAAGTTAAAAATGGGAGGGACCCAACAGTTTTTAATAAAGCCATAAAACTGGTACTGACCTTCGCTGATGGGGAGAGGCAGGAGTAGGGTGTGACTAGAGAGCTGGTCCTGTAACCTTGGGAAATGGTCTCACCCCTCTGAGCCCTGGAGATGACCTGATGGAGCAGCTAAGAGGGCCAAATGGAAGGACCGTAAATAAAAGGCACTGGGAACTCTCAGGGGCTACACACACGTGAGATCTTCCCAATGAAATCAGCCTTAGCTTTAAAACCAGGAAACTGTTAGCAACAGGCTCTCACCTTCCTCCCTCAACACCCACAGCATCGCCTCTCTCCCTGTGATAGCTTGATTCTAAAGATAACAGCCTGCCTTTACTCAGAAACCAGGACTGTGATGTGTTTTGCACACATTCTCTTTTCACTTTCATAGTGTGTGACTATGGGCATGCAACTCATGGTCTCTGTGCCTCAGTTTGCCCAAGTGTTCAACAGGTATACTCGCATGAGGATTACGAGTTAAAATGATAAAATCCTTAAAATAGTAAATTATTTGAATTTTATAAAGTCCTTGGCACATTACCTTAGCACAATTAAGTATTTGTTAAATAAATACATTTTAAAGAAACATCATCATATCCACACACCTGTGAGGCATCTGCCCAGAGCCACAGAGCCAGTCAATGAGGTGAATGGGTGATGCCAGGCTGGCAGGAAACCTCCAGTGCCATCTGCACGTGTCTCCACCGCCCACTGACATAGGGACTGTACCATCCATCCTTGTCTGTCGTGGTGCCTGGTGTGCTTCCTGTATTACACTGTTAAATACACGGGGCTAGGCCTTTGGAGGATCCCAATGTTTTAAAAGGGCAATACGAATATGATTCTAATACATAAAAAGTATGATGGCAACAAGAATTTAGTTACAAAACGCAAGAATCCTCAGAGCAGAGAAGTCACATGGCCCTGTGCAGTGTTACCTGTGCCTCGAGTCTGGACAGTGCACAAGTCTTATGTAACTGATTTCACAAGAAGGGTCCAACAGTTTTATTAGACAATCCATGTCAAGGTACAAAATGATTAATGACATTAACAGCCATATTCTATTAGCCAAGTGCCACCTAGCACTATGAAACTATCCTGTAGGACATCCCTGGGCTCTCAAGTTGCTAATGGCTGCTTGAAGAGCTCAATGTCCTCAAATCAAGACCCTAATACAAAGATTCCAGAGAGTGGCTTAGAAAGCCCAGCTACTCTTACCAATGTGGGAAGGGGTCAGGGGAATGAACTCCTGGCAGGACAATTTGAATTCTCAAACTGAGTAAGAGGGAAACAAATATGCAGACAGGGCCCAAGGCCTCAGGTGGGCTCCTGGGCCTGGGGCAGAGAGTGGAAGACAGGAGAGGCAAAATGGCAGGGACTTGACAGCAGGTTCCTCTTATCTACTTCTTCCTCCCGCCTCTCTCTTTGAGGGCCAGGTGGATGATGGCACCATTGGCCATGTTGTAGTAAGCCAGTGAGTTGGAATCTTTGATGAAGATACCCTGGAAAACAGAGAGCATGCCTTAGCATGGGGCAACCCAGCTTCAAGCATACTGCTGCAACCTTACAACTGTGCACTTGGTCCATTTGTGCTCTGAACTTAGCGAATACGGGAGCTTGTGAGACGGTAGCGTGTTGGGGATTAGAGGCCTCTCATTCCTCTCACTGTCTGCTTTCTTCCTACCAATTATGTACCTCTCCTTTATCAACATTTGACCCAAAAGCTTAACTCCCCCAAAAGTTGGTCCTGACCAACCCCATGGAGCTCTGACTCTGAAATCACAAGACCTTTAGGAATTACTTAGTCCAACAGCCTCAATTTATAGAGATAACTGAGGCCCAGAGCAGGGATTTGTTAAAGTTTAGAGAAGAAGAACATAATCTCTCCATGTGACCTGGCAGGCATCAGGCTGGGCTAGACTCTCACCTCCATGTCAGGCTGCCTGAGGTCATACCAGCAGGGATAGCCCAATCACTGGAACCAGAGTATGCCTAAGTCTTGTCCCTAAATCTCTATCCCCAGTCACTGAGGCAAAGAATCTTACAGATCCCTTATAAGACTGTACTGTGTCCCTACCAGAGCCCTGCACTGTTGGGCACAACTGCCCCAGCACTCCCACCCAGCATCATCACTTCTAGGATGGATTCAGATGGCGACAACCAGATATCACTCCACTCCCCTTTCTGTTTCCGTGAGAGATTTAGCTTCTTTTTTTTTTTTTTTTTTTGAGACAGAGTTTTCGCTCTTGTTACCCAGGCTGGAGTGCAATGGCGCGATCTCGGCTCACCGCAACCTCCGCCTCCTGGGTTCAGGCAATTCTCCTGCCTCAGCCTCCTGAGTAGCTGGGATTACAGGCACACGCCACCATGCCCAGCTGATTTTTTGTATTTTTAGTAGAGACGGGGTTTCACCATGTTGACCAGGATGGTCTCGATCTCTTGACCTCGTGATCCACCCGCCTCGGCCTCCCACAGTGCTGGGATTACAGGCTTGAGCCACCGCGCCCGGCCGAGAGATTTAGCTTCTGTGTAAGCAGAGGTGTCAGGATCCAAGGGCCAGGTCTGTGGACAAATTGACTCACCTCATACTGTAGCTTCTGTTTCCCTGCAGGCATGCCTGTGGCTTCATGAATCTTCACCTTAATGACAGAGACCTGTGGAATCAAGCAGAGGTCATTCAACTCCTTGCTAAGGCCAGCTGGAGGAAGCTTTCCCCTCACCTCTTGGTTCTCATGCACCTGATGCCAGTTTGTGGCAGCAACCCATAATACCTGGTCCGTGAGCGGGAGCGTGAAGACCAGAACCTGCCCATTCAGTTTCCATTCCGTCTTATCCTGCATGTTGGGCACCTGGACTTTGATGGACACTGGACCCTATAAAACAGGAGGTGGTCATTATACCCAGGGGGCCCTGAGCCAGTCAGGAACTCTGCTCTGCCATCCTAGGCCTATCCAGACAATGTTATCGGTGAATCTGGGCTGCTAGATTCTGGCCTGATTCACCACTGATACCACTTGTGAGGCTGTAGAAGTCACTCCCCCTTTGCAAGACTAGGTTTCTTTTTTTAAAAAAAAAAACAATCTTTATCTTGTCTCCTGGTGAGTCTGGAGCTAAAGTGAAGAACTTAGGTGAAAATACTCTGCACACCCCAAGGGAAAAGAATATGACCTGCAGGGTCAGAAGACCTGGATTCCCAACTCAGCTTCCCAGGTAACAAGGTCTGTCTGAGCCTCAGTGTCATTAACCATCAGACAGGGGTGATCATGACTGTTTTGAGTATTAAATACAAGTGTCTGTAAACTACTTAGCTCTATCCTGTCCTGCTACTTGAGTTAAGCGTTTTTGTTTTTTTTTTTTTTTGAGACAAAGTCTCCCTTAGTTGCCCAGGCTGGAATGCAGTGGCACAATATCGGCTCACTGCAACCTCCGTCCCCCAGGTTTAAGAGATTCTTCTGCCTCAGCCTCCCGGGTAGCTGGGATTACAGGCACCTGCCACTGTGCCCAGCTAATTATTTATTTTTAGTAGAGTTGGGTTTTCACCATTTTGGCTAGGCTGGTCTTGAACTCCTGACTTTGTGATCCACCTGCCTCGGCCTCCCAAAGTGCTGGAATTACAGGCGTGAGCCACCATGCCCAGCTGAGTTAAGTGTTTAATAAATTAGATTATTAAAAACCAAACAAATAGGGTGCGTGTGATGGCTCATGCCTGCAATCCCAACACTTTGGGAAGCCAAAGTGGCAGATCATTTATGGCTAGGAGATCGAGACAAGCCAGGCCAAAATGGCAAAACACCGTCTCTATGAAAATACTAAAAATACAAAAATTAGCTGGGTGTGGTGGTGCACACCTGTAATCCCAGCTACTCAGGAGGCTGCAGCACAAGAATCACTTGAACCAGGGAGGCAGAGTTTGTTAAAACAAAACAAAACAAACAAAACACACCACCATAATAAATAATTTGGTCAAATACACTGGGGGAGCAGAGGCTGGGGCTGTTTCTGCCTCCTTACTGCAGCCTGACAGCCTCCCTAGAGATTGGCAGTGACAAGGTCCCCACATCCCCTTATTCCAGGAGCCCAGCAGAATCACCTCCTAAGGGCTCGAGCTGGGGAGGAAGGCCGTATTAAACTTTAAAACACCATACAAAATTTCCTCCAGGTGCCTAGGGTCTCTCCCACAAGTGAGTTGTTCTCCCTGCTGGCCTCTGTAAGTCCACACCAGGAGGACCACTACAGTCACCACCTCTGCCACCACCACCATTCCCATCACCACTAATGCTCTCTGCTCCTCCAATTGTTGGCCCCACATTCACTGTGTGCTCAGAAGCCCTTAGATGCCTCCAATGGCTGACCTAGGCCCCAGAAGCAAGACTGGGAGTGGAACACGGTCAGTTTGGGAAGCGTATGACAGGGGTGGGACTGAACTCTCCAGCTAGAAACTTCAGCAGCATTCTGGGATCACATACCTTGTTTCTGCGCAGAAACTCCTCCTCTGGCATGAGGCTGTCCTCTGTCTTCAGTTTTTTGGAGGTGGGTTCATCTTCCATGGGAGGTGGGGGATGAACAGGGGGCATTGGGGCTGGAGCTGGGACAGGTGCCACAGGTGGGGCAGGCACAAAGGCTGCAAAGATAAGAATAAGAGGGCTGAAGGGGCCCAGGACTCAGGGCTGGTGAGAAGCTGAGAGGGGAGGGTGCAAAAGTTTCCTCTAGTCAGAGGTGTGAAGTGCTGTGTTCCCTGCTGAGTCTGGCAGCTAGCAGGTTCCTCGGGGGAACCTGGGACTCTGCATGGATTGGACAACAGAGGTGTGCAGGAGGGCAGGACTGATGGAAGGAGCTAGTGCCAGGCAACAATAAGCATTTCTAAGGTCTCTGAGCCTGTTGGGGACCTGACCCCTGAATGCACAGGCACCAGCTACACCATTTCAGCCTCCCATTTCTACCAGGAGCTGTGGCTCCCAGCTCTAGGGTTTTGGATCTTTCACATGGGAAGCCAGGGCTCTCCTCTGAGCTGGACTCCCTGCTGGAACAGCTGGCACTAGGCATCAAGCCACTGCTCTGCTGACAGTACTTGGCCTGTGGTCCCTAACCCAATGGCCTGGAAAGTGACACAAGAGATACTGACCTGTTGGCACAATCATGGGGGGTGGGCGGGGGGCCATGATAGGAGGGGCTGAGGGAGGCATGGGCACCACGTTGATTCTGGGTGCATGGATGATGGGCGGCATGGGAGCGATCACTGAGCCTGGAGGCAGCCGGACCACAGATGCCATTGGGGGCCGGGGCATGACGGGTACCGCGGACACAACTGTAGTACGAACTGGAGGCGGCATCTGCGCAGGAAAGAGACCCACAAGTTAAAGGAAGCCAAAGTTGGACTCCGGGTGCACACACAGTTGGCAACTGGCCACCTGTAGCTCTGAGGCTGGAGGTTAGACAGCTCCATCCTGGCCCCTTGGGGTTGAGAAACTGTGGCCTTACACTCAGCATCCAATAGGAACTGAGCTGCTGAAAGCCCCAGGGTGACACTCTCTCTGCTTGGGACTTTCATGGGTCAAACTCAACCAGCCGCTGTGGCAAACACTGAGAGAGCTACTTCAGAGGCTGAGACCTCGACTAAGCCTCCTGGAGACAGGCCAGCAGTCCTTAAAGACCCAATAAGCCCCACAGCCCTAATCCGACGCAAACTGGTTTCTTACATTTGCCACTCACCTCCCTCCCTGTTCCTATCCTCCTCCTCCACAAACAGATCAAGCTAGAGGTGCCCACTTGCACTTAAAGGCTTTTTTCTCTTTCAAACTGACCCACCCAAAACTCAGGTCCCACTATAAGACAGTTCCCTTCTCAGCCAACAGTGTCCAACCTCAAGAACCAAGCTCTAAAAAGCCAGTTGCTGCAGGGTAGATGTTGGCTTACTGTGGGTGGTCGGGGCACTGAAGTGATGGGTGGGGCCGAGCTGGGGATGTTAGTGGCTGAAGATGGAGGCGGTGGCTGTTGAGGGATTTCATTGGGCTTGCTGGGGCCAATCTTCTCTTTGGTGTCATCTTCTGGCACCAGGCCTTTGGCCTTGTGAATGGCCTCAATCTGCTCCTGAAGGGTGATGTTGGCCTGGGCAGCCTGCTGGGTCCGGGCCATGCTGCCTGAGTGACCATCCCAGGTTACCTGCAAGTGAAAGCAAAGCCACAATGCTCCTGGAACTAAGCCCAAGTGTGGAAGATGGATGGCAGAGAAAGCACTAGGATCCACTTTAGCCGCACCTTTTCCTCTGGCTTCTGGATCTCCTCCTCACCGATCTTCTTACCAATAGCTGTTTCCTCTACACCGAAGATGTCAGTACGTCGCTCAGCCAACTGCTTCAAGCTGCTCTCAATATCCAGACCTGTACAGTCACAAAAGAAAGGCAGAAGATAGAAAGGGAAACTAAACCAGGTGTCCTGACAAGAGAGTAGCTTTCCTGGTGTGCAGGGTGGAGGCTGGTTCCATGGGATGAGGGTGACCTGGGGCCCCAACACAGCACTCTTCTCTGGGCTTGGGGAAAGCTACCCTATAGGTACTAAGCCAATAAACCCAGTGCTTGTGCAACTCCTCTGACTTATAAAAGGATGGTAAGCTGGGCACAGTGGCTCACGCCTGTAATCCCAGCACTTTCGGAGGCGAAGGCGGGAGGAACACCCTAGCCAACATGATGAAATCCTGTCTCTACTGAAAATACAATAATTAGCCAGGTGTGGTGGATCATGCCTGTAATCCCAGCTACTCGGGAGGCTGAGGTAGAACAACTTGAACCTGGGAGGAAGAGGGTGCAGTAGCCAAGATGGCGCCACTGCACTCCAGCCTGGGCGACAGAGTGAATCTCCATCTCAAATAAATAAATATATACATAAATAAATAAATAAAATGAAAAGGCTGGTGAGAGGGCAGCTGTGTGCAAAGGGCCACATGGTGTAAGTGGCAGAATCAAAACTAGAAGCCCCGTCTCCCACCTCTGGCACAGTTCCTGCCCCATTCCAAGCAGCTCAGGGTACTCCAACCATCAGTGCTCTCCTCAACAGTCACAGGAAGCCCCCTCAGCTAAAGCCTGAGCTTGCTCTGGGATGTCAACAGGCACATGTCACCTCCTTCATGTCTGCCTTTGGGGAATTTCTCTGGGGAGTCCTGCTGGAAAGTGGGGAGTTCTCTCGCAATATCATAGGCTGCATCTCTCCTCAAAAGCTTTAGTTGACCTCAACTGTTGCTTTCATGTTTGCTCAGAAACAGCTGACTGTAATTTGGAGATTACCATGGCCTCTCCTGGAACCCCCACCTCACCTGGTGCGTACACCTCATCATCACTCTGCTTCTCACGGATGGAGCGATCCCGCTGCTCCAGCCAGCGAGGGTCAAGAAGTCCAATGCGCATGTGTTCCTGCATTTTGCTGGCAGGGATCTTCTCCCCAGTAATGGGGGACACAAGATACTCATCTGGAGCAGGGGCTGGAGGCAAGGGCTTGGAGGCTAAAAGGAAACATGTTTCAGTAAGAACACTGGTGGGCGGCCACCTGGGTTAAGTGGGTGGTATTTCATTCATGCATCATTCATCGAGGCATCCATTCAGTGTCCTTCTTATGCCTGGCACTGTGAAAGGCACTAGGGCACCAGAGATGACTGGGCCCTGTTCCCCACCATGAAACCTCTAACAGATGGGCTGGCAATGCTTTTACAATAAGCTGCACCTCAAGCCCTCCTAGAAAGACGGGTGTGAGGAACACACGTGGGCACACAGGACCTTCCTGGTCAGCCTGAGGGCGGGGAAGCAGACCCTACCTTTGGGATCATAGTCCTTTCGGACAATGACTTGGTCTGGAGTTGGGGGCAGAGGTGGAGGCATGGGTGTCTCTGGGGGTGGGGGTACTTTCTGCCCTTCTTCTTCATCATCTGAACCCTGAAAAGCAAAGCAATAGCAGGACTCAGAGAGGGGTTGAGGCCACCTCCCTATAGCTGAGCTTGGCAGCTCTCTGGGTGGCAAGGAGCCTTGGCCTCTGCCAGCCAGCATCCATGTGCTAAGCCTCCCAGGGCAGCTGAGGCCAGCCGGCAGCAGGCCAAGCTGCTTCCTCACAGCATGAATGGGAGTGCTGGGGCCATGGTCCTAGCACTCCTCCCAGGCATTTCCAGCAGCTGGCACCAGGCAGTCCCAAGAGGCCAAGGGCACTTAACATGCTGTGGGGGCCAGTGGGGTGGGGGGGCGAGTCGGCAATCAATGGTAGCCGCTCACACAGCAATGCTGGGAGGGAGAGAAAAAGTCAATTCCCACAGACACAGGGGCCCTTTCTTCTCGAGCTATGCACAAATTCTTTCCGAGCGGGGGAGAATGGTCTGGTTCTGGAGACTCCATGCCTGCTTGGAGGGCCTGGGCTTGAAGGGGGTAGGGATGCCTGAAAGGAAGTGTGGGCTACATTTACAAGAGCTCTGGGAGCTTGGAGCCCAGCTGAGAGATCAAAACAGAATAGGGTCATGCAGAGAGTTCCCTAGCTGAGGGCTGGCATGAGGCAGTGAGAGCAGAGTGTCCGGGCCAGGAAGGCAGCCACAGAACAGGTCGGCACAGCTTTTAGATCCTTGCCTATGAATGAATCTTTGTTGCTGGAGCTGGAAAGAGGCTCTGTGCTGCCTGGGCTTGGGCAGCTGTACAGCCTTGTTCAGGCCCCACGCCTCCTTTCAAGGCTCACAACGGAGCTGGATCTGACTAGTGGAGAGTACTTCTATCTCCAGGGGCTTCAGGGAAAAAGGTCAACCCACAGGCCCACCCAGCAGCTTACCTCATCCATGTCTTGCACTTGGGTGTCCTGATCCAGCTGAGAAGGAGGCTCCTCCGTCTTTTCCTGTTTCTCATCCTCCTCATCAGACTCGACCTCCATCTCAACTTCCTCACTCTCCCCAAACTTCTCATATCGCTCCTGAATGAGGATTCGGGCCCCTAGCTCCTCTGGTGTGGTGGGGGGTGGGAAATTCCCTAGAAGGAGCCAGAGGCAAAGGCATTCCTTATCAAACACCCATCTATTTACCCTGTCTGAGCTCTCCAAGGTCTGGGGCTATGTCTGTTTTCTCTCCAGCTATCTCCAGACGCCCATCTAGGGTCTGGCAAGTACATACTGAATCTATCTTGGGCAAAGTGGTAGAACTGAAGTTTTTTGGGAGCAGAGAGGAAATAGATACTGATAAAGTCCTCTGAGAGATTCTGCTGCTCTCTGGGAACACTTGCGCAAGGTATCCCGGGAAGTCTCAGAATTCCTGGCTCCCCATCTGGAGTCACTCGTCACAGACCCACCTTGCTCGTTGGGTTGGAAGTCCACTGTTTCCACCACCACAAAATCATGCCAGTCGATCTGAGCATAGGCCACCCGTTCCTTCTCCTTCTCCTCTTCTTCCTTCTTCCTCTCACGTTCCTGGAATTTGGCCCATTCTACTCGGTAACACACCTGCAGGGATGGGAAAAGAGATTGGTGCTAAGCTGAAGCAGGGTCTGCTCCTGATAAGGCTACCACCTCCAGGGCTTTCATCAAAGCCAGTGCCTCCTTCAAAACAGAATGGAACTACGGTTCCAAACTATGGTATTTGTACCTGGTTCCACCCATACCCAGAGTCTGGAAAGAATGGAAATTCTACCCTGTGACTGGCTTGGGAGTTGGCCTTCTGCCTTCTAGCTAGAGTAAGAAAGGAGACATACTGAGGCTGAGAGCAAAGCAGAAAGTTGTGGTATGTTGGGAAGCATCTGGACTCCAGGTTTCTTTGGACTTTGTAGCCAGCAAGGCCTTTTTCCCACCATTCCCGTGACTGGAACATAACAAGGTACTGCTGCAGAGACCGTTTTTGAACATAAAACAGAACCTACCATCAGTAACTAGTTGCAAGAAATCCAATTCAGTTTACCTGATCCAAAACTTCTCGGGGATTTTCAGCCTCTTTCTTGAGCTTTGTAAATAAGCCTTTGGGTGGAATCAAGATCTGAAATACAGAAGAGTTAAAGCAATTGTCAGTGCTTTATAAGGCAGGACAAAGAGGCAACCTTCCTGGGCCTGTGCTAAAGCATAGGAGATGAGAAGCATGGGATTCTGTGTCCCAATTCCAGTTCCACTTGGCTGTGGGACTTTGGGCAAGTTACTTAACCTCAGTAACTTATTTCCTTCTCCAAAATAGTGGCACCACCAAAGTTGGCACCATGAACTTGAAAAGGCTACTTTAAGGATTAGCAGGAAAGCACGCAAAACACTAGCAGGTTACCTAGAACACGGCCAGTATGAGACGGCTGCTTTCATGAGACTGATCTGCTCTTATCCCTTTGAAAATATTACACAGGTATCCCGACTATCCTATTCAGAACCATAGCCTACCTGCCCCACCTCTCTCTATTTCTGCCCCTGCTTTCTTTCTCTCCATAGTATGTAGCACCATCTGACAGACACTAACATTGCACTTGACTTCTCACTAGACTAGACACTCCACGAAGACAGGGATTTCTCTCTTTTGTTCACGATTACATCTCTAGCACCCTGAATAATGTCTGACGATGTATATTTACTGAGAGAACAAATGCGGCCTTTGTTCTAAACAGCCCCAACGGCTTCTACTGCCACTGGCAAAGTGGCTCAGCTCTATTCCAAGCCTCCTTGTACCTCTACCCCAAGAATCTATCTGCTTAGAGTCTTCCATGGCTAGAAACAGACACTAGTACTCAAGTTAGAGTGGTAAATGCCAATACCCAAGTTCTGAAGAAGAAAAAAAACAGGAATGTAACAGAATAAAAAATAATGTGGGACCTTTAACACTGGAAGCAGTCCACTGGGAGAAATTAATCCAGTGCTCACTTAAAATTGATATTGTATATTTATAGTAACCCTTTGGCCTTGGACCTTCAATGATTGTTATTTTAGCTGCCATACTAGCTTCTGGATTTGGTCATTTTCTAAACACACACATTTTTACAATTTTTTTCTAATTATATACTTAGAGTGAGTAAAGTTAGGAAATCCTCTCAAGTCAGATCTTTGAGGTGTTGTTTCTGGATATCAAGAACAGATGTACAGACCATCCCACTGAAAAGGGAAAGCAACCACTATGATGTACGTAGCAAGAAAAATATGCCACAGGCAAAGCTATACCAGTGCACTTTGCAATAAATTAATATTCTATTTTTTTTTTTTTTTTGAGACGGAGTTTCACTCTTGTTGCCCAGGCTTGAGTGCAATGGTGTGATCTCGGCTTACCACAACCTCCCCTCCTGGGTGGTTCAAGCCATTCTCCTGCCTCAGCCTCCCGAGTACGTGGGATTACAGGCATGTAGCACCATGCCTGGCTAATTTTATATTTTTAGTAAAGACAGGATTTCTCCATGTTGGTCAGGCTGGTCTCGAACTCCTGACCTCAGGTGATCCGCCCACCTTGGCCTCCCAAAGAGCTGGGATTACAGGTGAGAGCCATCACACCCAGCCTATATTCTGATTATTTTAAATGCCAGAACTGAATTGTCCAGATTCTTTTTCTTTTTTTTTTTTTTTGAGATAGAGTTTTGCTCTTGTTGCCCAGGCTGGAGTGCAATGGCGTGATCTCAGCTCATTGCAACCTCTACCTCTCGGGTTCAAGAGATTCTCCAGCCTCAGACTCCTAAGTAGCTGGCATTACAGACATGAGCAACCATGCCCAGCTAATTTTGTATTTTTAGTAGAGACAGGGTTTCACCATGTTGGCCAGGCTGGTCTTGAACTCCCAACCTCAGGTGATCCGCCTGCCTCAGCTTCCCAAAGTGCTGAGATTACAGGCATGAGCCACCGCGCCTGGCCTTGTCCAGAGTCTTGATTGCAGCTCTGTCTCACATGGTAATTGAGCTCTTAGGGTCTGGAGTAAAAATGCCAAGAGCTCAAACCCCAGGCTTGTCACCTCCTAGCTATGCGACCCTGGCCATGTTAACTTCTCTGGGCCTCAGTTTTCTCCTCTGTAAAGTGAACATAACAATAGTGACTACCTTATAGGCTACTGGAGATTAAATGAGAAAAAGCTGCATACATAATTTCTTAGTGACATTAGTTATATGGACGTATAACACATCAAAGCGTCTCTCAATGCCTATTTAAGAGCTATTTCCAATGTAAGGTACTTTATAAGCTGAAGAACCAAAGTTTTAGGGTCAAATGTGGTTTAAATCTCAGCATAGCTATTTACTAGCTGACAGACCTTGAGTATGTGACTTCACCTTTCTGAGCCTGTTTCTGCTTTTGAAAGCTGGGGGAAAAAAACCACTTACCTACGGCTTCTTGTGAGGACTAAATTAGGTAAAATGAGGCAACTGTTAAAGGCTTGCTTCTTCTTAGGACCTTATTAGGCAACTGAAAATGGAAATGTACTTACAAGCAGCAAGCACCACTGGGCCTTGTCACACAGCAGGCAATCGCCTAATGGTAGTTAGCAACCATGTGTTTCCCTTCCCTTTGGAAACAAGCAGTCTGTGTTGCACTTACAGAAATAACTGAACAGAAATCAGGATTTTACATCAAACTGGGATTCATAATGTTTGCTCAGAGGCCCCATGGAGAAACGATGTCCTTGTAGACAGTGAGTAGACACAGTGCTTCCAAGGGTAAGATGCCTTCCTTCCCTGGGCGCAGGACCCCAGCCCCACCCTGCCCAGGCACCTTGGTGTACTGCTCCACTAGCTTCGTGAAGTAGTTGAAGAGGCTGTGCTGCGGGCGGAGAAAGTCAAACTGGTAGTTACGCTGCTCTTTCTGCATCAGCTGGGTCAGAAACTGGCGCCCGTTCCTAGCCACAAACTGAGCTGTCAGCTTTACCACATCCAGGTCGAAGGCTGAGATGGAGGGGGGATCAGCAATGAACTCAAACTCAGGAGGAGGCTCTTTGGGCACGATGGTCTCTTGGATTACCTGGGCTTGGACCTAAGATGCAAAGGGAGTATGAGGCGAGAGGCACAGGGGTGGACAAGCTCTAGAGGAGGGGAGGGGGCATGGGCACGCACCCCTCAGCAGGACGGCTGTGAACCTCTAGAATTCTGTTGATTATGTATGCACCACTAGCACTTGGTGTGAGAGAATTCTAAATCACAAGAGCACTGAGTTCCCAGTCAACTATGGCCTCAACTCCATGAATGGCTCCAGTGAGAACCACGCCCCTCTGCATCTCTGCTGCACCTGTCTTGAAATAGAGAGGCAAAACTGGATGACAGAAGATCCAACAAAAATATAGCTTATTAAATCCCATCCAAGGCTGGGTGCGGTGGCTCACGCCTGTAATCCCAGTACTTTGGGAGGCTGGGGCGGGCGAATCACCTGAGGTCAGGAGTTCAAGAGAAACCTAGCCAACATGGTGAAACCCCATCTTTACTAAATATACAAAAATTAGCTGGGCGTGGTAGCAGGCACCTATAATCCCAGCTACTCAGGAGGCTGAGGCAGTTGAATTGCTTGAACCCAGGAGGCAGAGGTTGCAGTGAGCCAAGATCATGCCATTGCATTCTGGCCTAGGGTACAACAGCAAGGCTTTGTCTCACACACACACACAAAAAATCCCACCCAAGAGGGATAGAAGTACAGTAAGGCCTGCATGTGTGCAGGACCCCACTGTACAAAATGTTTCCATGACCTCCGCATGAAGCATGATGCAGAACAGGTATGCTTTACCTGTTTATGGATGAGGAAACCAAGGTAGCCTGAGGCCTTGGAGTAGTCCCTTGCAATGCAAGGTCTTAGAACCTGACTTCAGCCTCTATATCCCACTGCAAAAGGAAGGGCTGTCTTTTCCACCACGGTTAAGGAGTGCAGAAAAATGAAGGGAACTGCCCAGGTCTGGACAGGAGGAACAACATGTCAGCCTCTCTCTTCATTCATAACCCTAACAGTCCCTAGTGCTGGGCCTCAGCACAGGGAGGGTGGTATTAGGGGAGGCCAGATGGAGGGATCCTGGGAAGAAGAGACAGAAGGGAAGGGATAGCACAGGCCACACTGCATCCTTCAGCACAACCAGGTAGGAAGTCCTTCACACATCATGGCACTGCCCTCACACCCTGAGCAAGGCCTGGAATAAATCCCACTTCCCCCAACTCTCAGATTTGTTTTACAGCCTCTGTGAAGAGTCAATGAGACAAGACTCCTGAAGTAAAGCGCAGAGCTTGACAAGCAGTGCTCGGGAAACAGCGACTATCATCAGTACTTTGCTGACTGGGCCTCAGCCTGCCTCTCTGAGATGGGGATGACGGCCTCACTTCTCTCCCTGGGTGGTTGTGAGGTTTGGATAGCAGAGTTATTTGTGTACCCCCTCCCTATCCCTGCTTCCCTCTCAGCCCTGCATAAGTGAGGCGGGGTGGGGCTGGGCTCCAAACCTTCTGGGGCAGCTGCTGCTGGGTGGCCTGCTGCTGCTGCTGCATGACCTTTGGGATGGCAGCTGACGGCTCCTGAGCCTTCCCCTCCTTGAACTCGCTGACCTTGTGGCGGTAGTAGGCATGGTAAGGGTCATTGGGGTTCAGAAAGTTGAACTTGGGGTTGTTGATCTCGTTCTGTCGGATCCTAGCTTCAAATTCAGGCCCATTTCTGGAGGGAGAAAAAAACAGGAAGAATTCACACCACACCCCTTGTGCCGGCTGAGATCCAGAACACCGCCCATTTGAACACCCTTCTTGCCACCACCCACTGCTCAAACCAGCCCAGCCTCCAGACACAGCAGACATCCTCCTCCAGCCTCCTGGCATTAGCGATCAGTGCCATCTGTCTCATTCAGCCTGAACCAGGCCACTTCTGCCACAGGGTCTCCCTGAACTCAGTCATTCCTTAGCTCCTCTTCCAGTTCTGCCATTTCCAAAACCATTTAGGCTATTGCTCATTTCTTTTAATAAAGTTTATTTACTTAGAAAAATCTATTTAAAATGGAGGGTATATATTACTACTTAAAATTTAAAAAAAAAATCAGTACGCCTTTACCCACAAAAGGTAGTCAAAAGTGAATACAATGCAAATAAAGTAATATTGTCAAAGTTTGTCTTGAAGTTTGCTGAGACTAGTTCTCTTAGTTCAAAGGGGTAGCAAGTACTGGAGAGGTAGGTGTAAAAAGTACATGAGCACCAAACCTAGGCTTTGTCCTCTGAGTAACGAGAAAGACTGAAAGACAAGAAAATTTAGATGATTTGAGCCCGGGCAACAAGGCAAGATCCTATCTCTACAAAAGAAAATAACATAAAAAATAAATTAGCTGGGCATGGGCGGTATACCTGTATTCCCAGCTACTCAGGAGGCTGAGGTGGGAGGATCCCTTGTGCCCAGGAGTCTGAGGCTGCAGTGAGCAAGAACTGTGTCACTGTACTCCAGCCTGGGCAGCAAAGTGAGACTCTGTCTTTAAGAAACAAAAACAAAAAACCAGATTATTTGGTTTAATGCCTTGTTCAAGTACTGCCTAAAATCACCCAGTAATACTGGTAAGGCCCACACAGGAAACATGCACAGCAAGGACCCAAGCTCGCACAGCTGTATAAGGCACCTTCAGATGACAGGGGTGTGGTAAGATCAGCAGGGAGGCCTCCCACCACTGTCTGCATCTGGAATGGTCCCCTGGATAACCCCCATGTTCCCAGCAAGCCTTCAAAACCTCAGGATAATGAAAAAATATCCCTGTAATGATGTTTAGGGAATGCTGATTTTTAAAAAGTCCCAATGGTAATCCTTCAAAGTGCCACGCTTACATACAACACCTGTGTCAGTCAGAAAATACACAAATCTTAAAGACACAGGATAGGAACACATTCAAGTTTCAGGTTCACTACTGACTCACTCTTACCCAGAGCAAGTTACCAACTACTCACTGCTTCCATTTCCCCATGTGTAAAAAGTAGCTAACACCAGTTTCCCTTTCTACCTTGAAATATTATTGAGGAGATGCCAAAGTCTTTTGTTTTGTTTTGCTTTAGAGACACGGTTTCACTGTGTCACCCAAGCTGGAGTGTGTTGGCACAATCTCAGCTCACTGTAACCTCTACCCCCTGGGCTCGAGGGATCCTCCCACCTCAGCCTCCTGAGTAGCTAGGACTACAGGCATGCACCACCATGCCTGGCTAATTTTTTTTATACTTTTGTAGAGATGGGGTTTCGCCACATTGCCCAGGCGGGTGCCAAACTCCTGAGCTCAAGTGATATGCATGCCTTGGCCTTCCAAAGTGATAGATAACAGGCGTGAGCCACTGAACCTGGCCCTCAAAGTTTTCTCAAATCATACAGTAGCCAGCAAATGCAAGGGGTCAGGACGGGTTGTTCCATAAACATTTTAGATGATTTGAGTGTGAGATGTCTGTGGGGCTTTCCACTGCTCCTCTGGCCAGAACCTTGTACTCAGAGCTGCCCCAAACACATCAAGACATGGCCCTGGCGTCTGGTGCCAGCCGGCTGGCTCTACTCGCTTCTGCCTTTCACATCCCTGCCCCGTGAGTTTAAGAGGGGGTGGTGGAGCCTGGCACGGTGGCGCACACCTGCAGTCCCAGCTACTCAGAAGGCTGAGGCGGGAGGATCACTTCAGTCCAGAAGATCATATCTAAGCCTGGACAACAAAACAAAACTCTATCTCTAAAAAAAATTTTTTTCTTAATTTAAGAGAGACACAGGAGACATGGTGCAGGCAGTGCTGTGCCCCAGATCAGGCACCACAGCAATGTGTGCCACACTAGTGACCAACACCCAGACTGGCTCCTCAGCAAGACCTGGTCATACCCTGCAGGGTGACTAATACCCTGAGGTCTCAATTTGACAGTGCATTAGTCCAACTGGAACCTCATGCTTTGGGAAAAAAAATTATCCCCCTTCCTTGAATAATGCAAACCACAAATAAGAATGAAGGTGAAAGCATGCTTAAATCCTGCTAAACTAGACCTCTATACCCAGCAAATGCCTTGGACAGACAAAGGGCTCCTAGAAAAAGGGGCCCTGGTCATCTCCTGTATCGCTGCCTAAGCCATAACTTTACCCCATCTGGGAACAATGTGAAAGATGAAACAATGAGAAGGTTCATTCCAAGCTATTCTGTTGCTTTAAATTATCTTAACGTTAATTTTAGAATCATACTCTCTACCACAAGGAATAGATTTCAACAGAAAAAGACATGATTCTGACTCAACCCAGCTGGTGGGGCTTTTTTAAGGGTAATTTCCACTTTAGTTTCTGGACAGGAACATGCAGGAAATGATAAGCCTAACCTAGTGAAAAAACTCCTTTTAGAAAACGGCTCAGTTGTGGATTTCTACTGCATGCTCCATAGATATATGTGAACTCAGGAGAAGTGAAGCACAGATTTCTGCATGCCTGCTTTAACTCAACACTAGTCTGTCTCTTCGTTGCAACATAAATGATAAGGTTACAGATTTTATTTATTTATTATTATTTTTGAGATGAAGTCTTGCTCTGTTGCTCAGGCTATAATGCAGTTTTATGATCTCAGCTCACTGCAACCTCTGCCTCCTGGGTTCAAGTGATTCTCCTGCCTCAGCCTCTTGAGTAGTTGGGATTACAGGCATGCACCACCACACCTAGTTAATTTTTGTATTTTTAGTAGAGATAGGGTTTCACCATGTTGGCCAGGCTGATCTCAAACTCCTGACTTCAGGTGATCTGCCTGCCTTGGTCTCCCAGAGTGCTGGAAAATCTGTGAGCCACACCCAGCTCACAGATTTTAGAAATGTCTACAAAAGCAATCACCATAGCTAAAAACCAATCTAGGATGTGCATGGTTTTGGTATTCTTTTGTTTTGTTTTGAGATAGGGTCTTGCTCTGTTGCCCAGGCTGGAGTACACTGGCATGATCCTAACCTTGACCCCTCAGGCTCAAGTGATTCTCCTGAGCAGCTAGAACTACAGATATGCACCACCATGCCCGGCTAACTTTTTTAATTTTTTGTAGAGAAGGGGGTCTCACTATGTTGCCTAGGCTGGTCTCCAAGGCCTGGGTTCAAGTGATCCTCCCACCCTAGGCTCCCAAATTGCTAGGATTACAGGTGTGAGCCACTGTACCTGGCTGGTCACAGTTATTGATTGATTGATTGATTGATTCTTTCTTTTTTTAACCTGGTTCCCAGCCCTGCTCCTGCCTCATATATACTGATTGATTGATTGATTTTTTCTTTTTTTTTTTTTTTTTAAGATGAGGTTTCAACCATGATAACCAGGCTGGTCTTGAACTCCTGACCTCAGGTGATCCACCCACCTTGGCCTCCCAAAGTGCTAGGATTACAGGTGTGAGCCACCACGCCCGACACATGTATTTATTTTTAAGGGAACTTGGATGCACTCTTATTTCTTCAGCAGCCGAAAATGGCACAAAATTAGAAAGCTACTTGGCAAAATGTTTATGAAATCTTTTAAGGATGCTCTTTCAGCCAATAATGAGCCACACAGAATTTTCTTCTAAGGAAACAATCTAAAAGGGAAAGAAAGTATTCAGAGATTTCCCCACAGCTTCATTTGCCAAAATGAAATGTTGGGAACAGGCCAGGTGCAGTGGTCATGCCTGTAATCACAGCAATTTGGGTGGCCAAGGCATGAGGATCACTTGAGGCCAGGAGTTAAAGACCAACCTGAGCAACACAGAATGACCCTATCTTTACAAAAAATAAAAAAATAAATTAGCTGAGTGTGGTGGCAGGAACACAGAGTGGAATGTAAAAGTATCTCTGCTAGTATTACAAGGATCTAAAAAAGGATGTCAAGGACAGAAGGAAACAAAAAAGTGAAAACAGCTGGCAGAAACTATTTTGGTAATGAGAATATGGTGATTCTTAACCCAACACCTCTTTTCTGTATATTCTGCTCTTAAAATATCAGGGGAAAAGGGGAAGCATGAACATTACTAAGAGCCATTAAACATTTATCTCACACACTTACCGTTTAAATCTGACATGACCCAATCACCATCACCATCATAATGTTCAATCAAGTACAGAGCAGTTTTCAACCTAATACCCAGGTTAATCAAAGCCCCTGAAATGTAATGAGATGAATCTACAGATCTGACACAATGAAAGTCTAAGCAAAGTAGGCTGGGTGCAGTGGTTCATGCCTGTAATCCCAGCACTCTGGGAGGCCAAGGCAGGCAGATCACAAGGTCAAGAGATTGAGACCATCTGGGCCAACATGGTAAAACCCCATCTCTACTAAAAATACAAAAATTAGCCAGGTGTGGTGGCGCATGCCTGTAATCTCAGCTACTTGGGAGGCTGAGGCAGGAGAATCGCTTGAGCCTGGGAGGCGGAGATTGCAGTGAGCCAAGATCACGCCACTGCACTCCAGCCTGGTGACAGAGTGAGACGCCATCTCAAAAAAGGCAAGAAGGTCTAACCAAAGTAATCTTTATTGATCTTTATGTTTAATTTCATAGATTGGGAAAGGAAGGAATAAGGTTACATGATTACACTGACTGAGGCACTGCCTCAGGGGAGTGACATGGGTCCCTGGAGAGCACACACTCTGACTGAGCCTGCTTCCACACATGAAGGAGCTGTCCAGAAATCCAGATTGATTGCGAAATCTCATTTTTACTTGTTTTGGTTTTTTTGAGACAGGGTTTCACTGTCGCCCAGGCTGGAGTGCATGGCTCACTACAGACTCAACTTTTTGGGCTCAACTGATCCTCTTGCCTCAGCATTCTGAGTAGCTAGGACCAGAGGCCCATGCCACCACAGCCAAACAACTTATTCTTTGTAGACAGAGTCTCGCTATGTTGCCCAGGCTGGTCTTAAACTCCTGGGGCTCAAGTGATCTTCCCACCTTGACCTCCCAAAGTGCTAAGACTCAGCGAAGAGCCACAGCACCTGGCGTCCTCATTTTAAAATAGTGGCAACAAATTTGAATTTTGAAAAAATTACCGTGAGGACAAGCAAAACATCTGTAGGCTGGACATGACCTGAGGGCTGCCAAAGGAACACCTTAAATACCCTAGAGGATGTATTGACCTTTGGAGTCAAGGGGCCATCAAAAAAATTCCATCTAAGGATGTGAGTGTAAGTACAGTGGAAAGAGACGGGAGGAACTCGGAGCAATTCCCATTCCATCTGAGAAGACAGCTAGCACTGGCATACGGTCCCATGACTTTGCTTCTGTCTCACAGCAAACAACTCTGAGATGGCATTTTGTTCCATTTTGCAGATAGGTCATCTAAGGCTCTTGGGATGTGGTCTTTGCACACACTCCCCTTTTGATCTTCCTCAGGCCAGCAGCTCAGGCACAGACACACACCATCTGTGACGAAGTAGCTCTCCAGGCATTTCCTCAGGCCCGTTTTGGAAGCAGAGGCTCCTGGTGACCATGGGGTTAGTGTGACTCTCCCTTTGGCCATCGCTGTGCTGTGTCAGGGACACCAATCCTGCCTACTGCCCAACCCACTGCCATGTTGTGGTTTTTTTATTAACTAAAAGGCCCAAGCCAATGCCCCTTTAAAAACCCTTGTGCTGATTCAGTGCTGAAACCTCTGCATGCTGAAACCCACCTCTGACCCAACCAAGTAGCTCCGTTACCTGGCCACAAAGCTGGCAGTCTTGTCAACAATATTTCTGACCTCTGGAGGAGGGTAAATAATCCCCACAACTGGTTTAGAAGGTGCAGAATCCTCCTTTGAAGATGCTTCTTCTTCTATGGGCTGTGAAAACAGGAAAAGAAAGAAGGTTTTCAAGTCCCTGGTTCGGCACAGGTTCTCCACTGTGAAACTCCTCTAGGACATCATTCAGGGTAGACTTTCACTCAGACTTCCCTCTGGTTAGGACCTTCTGCTTCAGAAAAGCAGTTAAGTTCACTGCACCTGCCAGGGATGCTCCTGGGGACCCGGGAAAAGAGTAGTTTCCCTGGCTCTTCTCCAGCTGGATTGTCTCAGTGAGACCAGGAATCTGCATTTTTACCTAATGCCCAGGTGATTCAGATGCAGGGACTCCGACTACATACTGAGAAACCAATGCAGAATCCAGGCCTTGTCTGTAAACCTGCACCCAGCGCTGGGCTTGGCATGGAATATTTTTTTTTTTTTCCTTGAGACGGAGTTTCGCTCTTGTTACCCAGGCTGGAGTGCAATGGCGCGATCTCGGCTCACCGCAACCTCCGCCTCCTGATCTCAGGCAATTCTCCTGCCTCAGCCTCCTGAGTAGCTGGGATTACAGGCACGCGCCACCATGCCCAGCTAATGTTTTGTATTTTTAGTAGAGACGGAGTTTCACCATGTTGACCAGGATGGTCTCGATCTCTTGACCTCGTGATCCACCCGCCTCAGCCTCCCAAAGTGCTGGGATTACAGGCTTGAGCCACCGCGCCCGGCCTGGCATGGAATTTTTAATAAAGAAATGGAAAATTATTTGCTGACAGCTTCTTCTGCCCTGAATGCCCTCTCTCTCTGCCTCTGTTCCACATCTTAACCACCATTCAACGCTCAAGTGTTTTGTGAACCTCCACCGAAATGCTCAGCATTAACTATCCCAGAAGTTTCAATATTTTCTCCAGCAGCTTCTTCCCCTTAGTAAACAAAAGGTCAAGTCTCTTATCTTAGAAAAATGAGGTTTCTCCTCTACCTTCAGGTTCCTTTCTGCCACTACCTTCTCCCACCCCTTCCTTTGGCAGCTAAACATCCTGAGTTCTCTTCAGTCTTGCTAGTCTCACTTCCTCACCTGCCATTTGGTCCCCATTCATTTTAAGTGCTCTCAGCAAAGTCAAAAACAACTGCTCACAGCCATCCACCGCCATTATTTGGGCACGAATGGTGAGCACTCCTTCACAAAACGCTCAACTCCCCGGCCCCGTTCTTCCCTTCTTCCTGTCTTGCTCATTATTCCATTCAAGTTTCCTTCCTGGCCCCCGTTTTACCTCCTGCTCTGTATAGTTGGTGATTCCCACCCCCCGACCCCGCCCAATTCTGTTCTTGGTTTTCTCAGTTTTCAGCGTCCTCCACTTCCCCTACTGCCTCTAGGCTAAACAATCTGGCCCAATTCAATGTCCCAGAACACTCCTGTGTACCAAACAGCTTTGGGTCCAGCTGACTCCTGGGCACTTTTGTCTCTAACCTCTTTCCTCAGGAGTAGCTACCCAGTCATCCACGATAGAAAGTTGGGGCTCCTCTCTCTTCCTCAGCTTCCACACTCAATGATAGTAACATTTATCAAGCTGGGCACAATAGCTTGCACCTATAATCCCACTGACTCAGGAGGCTGAGGTAGGAGGATTGCTTGAGCCCAGGAATTTGAGGTCGCAGTAAGCTATGACCGCACCGTTACATTCCAGTCTAGGCGATGGAACAACACCCTGTGTCTTAATAAAACAATTTTGGCCAGGCGTGGTAGCTCATGCCTGTAATCCCAGCACTTTGGGAGGCCAAGGCAGGCGGATCAAGGAGGTCAGGAGTTCAAGATCAGCCTGGCCAACATGGTGAAACCCCATCTCTACTAAAAAATGCAAAAATTAGCTGGGTGTGGTGGCGGGCACCTATAGTCCCAGCTACTCAGGAGGGTGGGGTAGGAGAATCGCTTGAACCTGGGAGGTGGAGGTTGCAGTGAGCCAAAATTATGCCACTGTACTCCACCCTGGGTGACAGAGCAAGACTCCATCTCGAAATAAAATAAAATAAAAATAAAACAATTTTTTATCAAGCACAGAGTAGATCCCTGGTATTTTTCCCAAGTACTTTAAATGTATTAACTCTTATAGACCTTATAAGAAGCCTATGAGATTAAGTATTATTTTTTATTTTTGAGACAGTCTTGCTGTCACCCAGGCTGGAGTGGAGTGCCATGATCTTGGCTCACTGCAGCTTCCACTTCCCAGGTTCAAGCAATTCTCACCCGAATAGCTGGGATTACAAACGTGCACCATCAAACATGGCTAATTTTTTATTTTTAGTAGAGACAGACTTTTGCCATGTTGGCCAAGCTGGTCTCAAACTCCTAACTCAAGTGATCTGCCTGCCTTAGCCTTCTGAAGTGCTGGAATTACAGGTGTGAGCCACCGGACCGGGCCAAGTACTCTTAGTATCTTCCCATTACAGATGACAGAACTGAGAGACGGCGAGCTTATTCCAACTGGCAGAACCAGGATTCTAACATATCACTCTGGCTGGAGAACCTGCTCACCACCCTCTGCCCCAATCTAGGCCAGGCCTTAAGCCTCTTTTGAACAGTGTGACTGACCTCCATCTTCCTAGTGATTCTCCACGTCTGCCTATCTGAATTTCTGAAACACAAATGTCACTATCTGGCTTAAAACCCTCCCTTTCCTGATCATGGATGAATTTTCTGACTAGGAAAAAAAAAAACCCTCTCTTTTCTTCCCATTGTCTACAATGAAAAGTTCAAATCCTAAGTAAGAATTGCATCTCCTGCCACCATTCTCCTAAGTCTACCCTTCAACACTTCTTCATTTACTCTTGACTAGACACATCATTTGATTCTTACCTAAGTATCTGTGTGCATATTATCTGGCCATTACCTTATTTTTCCCCAATGCCTGGAAAAATTCCAGGGACACACAAGCACTTAAATATCTGTGGAAAAGGCATGGCTTCTTCAGTCATGTCCCCCCCTTATTCTGAACCCAAAGCGGTGATCAGCAGGTGCTCAATAAATATGTGCTGGATGAATAAAGGATGCTATTTCCCTTCCCTAGTCACCTACCTGACAAACTCCTACTCCTTTTTTTTTTTTGAGAAGGAGAAGCCTCACTCTGTCACCCATGCTGGAGTGCAGTGATGCAATCTCAGCTCACTGCAACCTCTGCCTCCCAGGCTCAAGCAAGTCTCCTGTCCCAGCCTCCCAAGTAGCTGCGACTACAGGTTCGTGCCACCATGCCGGGCAAATTTTTGTATTTTTAGTAGAGATGGGTTTTCACTTTACCGATCAGGCTGGTCTTGAACTCCTGACCTCGTGATCCACCCCCCTTGACCTCCCAAGGCCACGGCGCCTGGCCAATTCCTTTTTCTTTTCTTTTTTTTTTTTTTTTTTTTTTTTGAGGAGATGGAGTTTCGCTCTTGTTACCTAGGCTGGAGTGCAATGGTGCGATCTCGGCTCACCGTAACCTCCGCCTCCTGGGTTCAGGCAATTCTCCTGCCTCAGCCTCCTGAGTAGCTGGGATTACAGGCACGCGCCACCATGCCCAGCTGATTTTTTGTATTTTTAGTAGAGACGGGGTTTCACCATGTTGACCAGGATGGTCTCGATCTCTTGACCTCGTGATCCACCCGCCTCAGCCTCCCAAAGTGCTGGGATTACAGGCGTGAGCCACCGCGCCCGGCCACCTATTCCTTTTTCTAAAAGAAGGAATTTATCTCTCACTCCTGTGAGCTTCCCCTACCTTAATATCCCTTCTACCCCAGCAAGCAATGCTGATTAGATTTGTACCTGAAACTTCTATCACAGAGCATATCACACCATACTACAATAGTTTATGCACATTTGACATTGGAGAGCTTTATTATGGGCGGGCTGTCACTGTATCATTGATGGTCATCAGGGGGACAATAAACATTTGGTGAGCATTCTCACATGTCTGCCTTCCTTTAGCCTGTGAGCTCCCTAGACAGGATTGTGCCCCATTCATTCTGGTAAACGTGGGGGCCTACTATAGTGTCTGGCTTGGGGGAGACACCGAAACAGATTCTGAGAATTAACATCCAAAGATACCACGCAGGCTGAGAAATTAGGCATTAGTGGGCAAAGGCTGGGGCCAGTGGCCCCAACTGCCACAGAAGATCAGAGGATCTTCTCAGAGGATCAAATGATCACTGCCTCTTACACTTTAATCAATCACCTTAGGATTTTGTTCAAACGTAGATTCCTATTTAAAAGGTCTAGGGGCCGGGCGCGGTGGCTCACGCCTGTAATCCCAGCACTTTAGGAGGCCGAGACGGGCGGATCACGAGGTCAAGAGATCAAGACCATTCTGGCCAACATAGTGAAACCTCGTCTCTACTAAAATATAAAAAATTAGCTGGGCGTGGTGGCGCGCGTCTGTAGTCCCAGCTACTTGGGAGGCTGAGGTTGCAGTGAACGGAGGTCGCGCCACTGCACTCCAGCCTGGCGCCTGGCGACAAAACGAGACTCTGTCTCAAAAAAAAAAAAAAAAAAGGTCTAGGGCGGAGACTCCGCTTTTCTCCGCTCGTGCCGATGCTGCGGATCCGCGGACCACTTTGGAGAACCCTGTTCAGGGCGGTTCCTTTCACTACCAGAACGACACCGTAGCGTGGGAAGCGCGCAAAACGCGCAGCCTCCTGGGACTTGCAGTCCCTCCAAGCCGTTCATAGCTGCCGCTTATTCCTACGCGAGTGAGGAGCACCCAGGCCCACGCTCGGGCTGCAGGCTGAGGTGCTGGGGGAGAAGTACCTGTTTAGGCTCGGTGGCCACCGGCGGCGGCGGAGGCACCGCCTGCACGGGTCCGGCCGGCATGACTGCGACGCTCAGGGCTGCCAGTCCGCCTCGGTGTCGGTGAGGGGTGCCGCCTCAAGGCAGCCTCCCCGCTCAGACAGTACGACGAGCTCGCAAGATGGCGGCGACCGAGCGAGTTGTGACCGCGAAGGTGAGACTGACGCACTTCCGGGACCTCCCCCTCTCCGTGGCGCGCTTCCCATCCCTCCCCGCGGGCACCGCAGCTTTCGACGCCGTTGCCAAGGCAACGGCCTGGGCCAGGCTAGGGCTTTCCGGGGATCACAGGTGCCGCAGGCGCGCTGGATACAATTTCGGTAGCCGATCAGACACAGAGGCTAAAGCTGTGAAGCTGAAGGCAGGTGAGATGTTCTGCATCACCCGCCTGACCCTCGCTGCACTCACCTCGCGGCTCTTTTACTCCACAGGCCAGCGCCTCACTCCCTTCGACCCCGCCTCCCAAGAGCCCAGCTCACTCCCATTGGCCTTATTTAGGAGAGCCCGGGTCCCCTCAGGCTCGCCACCTCAGAGCCCCACTTCCCTACTCCCATAGTCTCCTCTTTGATTTCACATCCTCCAAGCCCCTCTTCCGAATCCTCCCTCCTTAATTCCCATTTCCCATGGGTCTGCCTTTTCTTGCTTTCACCCTCTGCCTTTCGTAGTCCCGCCCTCCAGCCCCCCTGGGGCCTCCCTCTCAAATCAAGGCGGCTGCTTTCTTTTACTTTTTTTCTAAGACGGGGTCTGGCTCTGTCGTCCAGGCTGGAGTGCACTGGCTCAATCTCGGCTCACTGCAACCTCTGCCTTCCGAGTTCAAGCTATTGTTCTGCCTCAGCCTCCCAAGTAGCCAGGACTACAGGCACCGACCACACCCAGCTAGTTTTTTTGTATTTTTAGTGGAGACGGGGTTTCACCATGTTGGTCAGGCTGGTATCGAACTCCTGACCTCAAATGATCCGCCCGCCTTGGCCTCCCAAAGTGCTGGGATTACAGGCGTGAGCCGCCACCGCAGGGCTGCTGCTTTAGGCTTCATCCCTCACTCTTAACAGGTAAGGCCCTGCAAGCTACCCGCACTCCCCGGAGGCCTACCTGGCACCCTGCCGGCTTCTCACCCTTTCCTGAGATTCCCCTCTCTCCTTCCTCCCCTCCCCAACTTCAGAAAGTGGGGACCTGGCTCCGAACCTGTGCCTGGACTTCAGTTTCCTCACCTGTGAAATGAGGGAGTGATAGGAAAGGTTGCTCTTTCAAGCCTTCTCCTTCCCCCACACACCATAGCTGTATGTCACTGTTGTTGTTGTTGTTTTTTTTTTTTTTTGAGATAGAGTCTCGCTCTGTTGCCCAGGCTGGAGTGCAGTGGCACAATCACTGCTCACTGCAACCTCCACTTCCCAAGTTCAAGTGATTCTCCTGTCTCAGCCTCCCAGGTAGCTGAGATTACAGGCGCTCACCACCACACCCAGCTAATTTGTGTATTTTTAGTAGAGACAGGGTTTCACCATATTGGCCAGGCTGGTCTTGAACTCCTGACCTTGTGGTCCACCCGCCTTGGCCTCGAAAAGTGCTGGGATTACAGGTGTGAACCACTGTGCCCGGCCTCAATGTTGTTATTAATGTAGAATAATGATAGCTAGGATGTACTGGTCACTTACTATGAGCCAATACACTTCACGTAGTACACTTATTCTTTATAGCAATATATTTACAAATGAGGATAGTGAAGTTTGAAGTTGGTAGAGTAGGAATGCAAGTTCAAGCCAGGCTTCTTACTCTACTAGTGCAGTTACTCTTTTGTCCTCACTCAGTCCCTTCAGTGTCCCCAGGGATCCAGGCAATTAACAGTGTCATGTTTGAGACTGACATTTGCCACATAGCTGGTTTTAGAGTTTTCCGTGTTTTCATGGTGGTGACTTTGAATCTCAGCAGTCCCCCTGGCTGGGAAGTAGACAATCTTTCAGTAGGGGTAGGGTACTAGTTCTGAGAGAGAGAAGGTGCTTGAATGTTGAACGGAAGTGTAGGAAAGGCTCCTTCTCTCTTCTCTGGGAGTCAAAAGTCCACCTTGAGCCCCAGGAAACTGAGGAGAGGCAGAGTTAGCTGCTGTAGCTTCGTACGGGCTCAATTACTGCTGTCACCTGTGTGGTCACAGCGACAGTGCAGTACTTGAGTCCTCCACTCAAGACCCAGGAATTACAGAGATTGCTTATGTCTTCACGTGACACGCACATAAGTACTTCTTTTTTTTTTTTTGAGACGGAGGTTCGCTCTTGTTGCCCAGGCTGGAGTGCAATGGTGCGATCTTGGCTCACTGCAACCTCTGCCTCCCTGGTTCAAGCAATTCTCTTGCTTCAGCCTTCCTAGTAGCTGGGATTACAGGCATGTGCCACCATGCCCAGCTAATTTTTTCTTTTGTATTTTTAGTACAGACGGGATTTTGCGATGTTGGTCAGGCTGGTCTTGAACTCCCAACCTCAGGTGATCCACTCACTTTGGTCTCCCAAAGTGCTGGGATAACTGGCATGAGCCACCGCACCCAGCACGTAAGTACTTAAACCATGCTTATATCTGCGTGACCTCAATTTTCAGAAGAAACAAGGTGAGGTAATTTACTGCTAATTATCTGAACCAAGATCTAGTGGGAGTTGATATCCAAGATGGCCTCATATGGCAGCTGTAGTTATTTGAAGATGAGCAGATCAGCGTTTCCTGGTGCCTTCACAAGCAAGCTTATGAATTCCAGGTGCTTTGCCACTTGAATACACTTCCTCCCAGGTTGGGGCTTCTTGATTGCTTTATTTCCTTCATGCCCATTCCAGGAAGGAAACCCAGAATACTTGCCTATGTTATTTTCCCTTTGTTTCTGCCTCCTTCCTTGGAGACACAAAATCTCTTGGGCAGCAATAGCTCATGAGAGGCAGTTGGCAAGACAACAGGAGTGCAGGATGTGGGCATGTGTGTTTTGAGTGTCATGAGGCAGACACATATCACTTGGGTGATATCCCACGGGTCAGACTGGCACACACAAGCTTACCCCTTGCAGAGACCCTCAGATATCGTTGGTAATTCCTGGAGGACAGGGCTTCCTCTGCCCTGCTGTGTTCCTGGTCTTGACACAGTGCCTCCTGGCATGGAGCAGATGCTCAGTCCTCATTTGCTGATTGCACACACAGCATCTGACCCTCTGCGCCATCCAGTACAATAGCTACCAGCCGACGTGGCTTTTGAACTTTGAAATGGTTAGTAGAGGAGAAAAAGTAATATATTTTCCTCATCCATCACAGGTTTAATAAAAGACAGATTAAGGTGGCTCACGCCTATAATCCCAGCACTTTGAGAGGCCAAGGCTGGAGGATCACTTGAGGCCAGGAGGCCAAGACCAGCCTGGGCAACACAGCAAGTCTCTGTCTTTACAAAAAATAAAAAAAATTAGCCAGGTGTGGTGGCACCCACCTGTACTCCTACCTACTCAGGAGGCTGAGGTGGGAGGATCACTTGAGCCCAGGAGTTTGAAGTTACAGTGAGCTATGATAGCACCACTGCACTCCAGCCTGAGCAACAAAGTGAGACCCTGACTCTAATAAATAAGAGAAATAAAATTTAAAAACATATTAACAAGAGAAAAGGATACGAATGTATTTAATAAAAGTTTTTCCTGACATGGAAACCTTCAGAAATGAAAACCCAAAGAAACAAGGAGATCTGTGTTTTTTGGGTTTTTGTTTTGTTTTGTTTTTCTGTTTTTTTGAGACAGAGTCTCGCTCTGTACCCCACGCTGCAGTGCAGTGGCACGATCTTGGCTCACTGCAACCTCCGCTTCCTGGGTCCTGGTTCAAGTAATTCTCCTGCCTCAGCCTGCCGAGTAGCTGGGATTACAGGCGCGCACCACCATGCCCAGCTAATTTTTATATTTTTAGTAGAGACGAGGTTTCACCATGTTTGCCAGGCTGGCCTTGAACTCCTGACCTCATGATCCTCCTGTCTCACCCTCCCAAAGTGCTGGGATTACAGGCGTGAGCCACCGCGCCCAGCCTGGAGATCTGTGTTTTCATGGATAGTCATTCAGAATTATGATTGGTGGACCAAAAGGTATGATCTAGCCAGACACGGTGGCTCACGCCTGTAATCCTAGCACTTTGGGAGGCCAAGTTGGGTGGATCACCTGAGGTCAGGAGTTGGAGACCAGCCTGGCCAATATGGTGAAACCCCGTCTCTACTAAAAATACAAAAATTAGCTGGGCATGGTGGTGTGTCCCTGTAGTCCCAGCTCCTCGGGACTACAGGAATGGTCTGACAAGAAAATTGCTTGAACCCAGGAGGCAGAGGTTATAGTGAGCCGAACAGGAGAATTATTTGAACCCTGGAGGCAGAGATTGCACCACTGCACTCCAGCCTGGGTGACAGTGTGAGACTCTGTCTCAAAAAAAAAAAAAAAAAGAAAAGAAAAGATACGATCTAACAGTAATAAATGAGGGAGGGAATGGATCTAGCAAGGGCTGTTTTCTCAGATTCTTCTTGGTATCCCTGTGTGACATTTCTTCCCATCTGGGTATAGGGCAGCATACCTGTCACATGAGGGTCTTCAGGGTAGAAGGAAGGGAGAGGTTACAGACTGACCTTCCTGGTGGTCTGCTTTAGGGAGGAAGGATGAGGGGAAGATGAGGGTGGCCTTCCTGCTTCTGCAGTTTTTTGCATTTCCAAGGTGCCATATTTTTGGGTACCATTTCCTGTAGCCCATCAGTGGCTAGTAGAAATACCTAAAATCCCATGTGTGGCTTGTGTTATATTTCTCCTGGACACTGCTACTCTGGAAGTAGCATGGCCTGAGGACAGAGCAGAGATTGTGGACTCAGAATCTCAGCTTCCTGAGTGACCTCGGGCAAGCTCCCTAACTTTTCAGAGCCTCAGTTTCCTCCTCTGTAGAAATGAGGGAGATTGAGGGAAGTGGTACACAGTAGGTTCTTCAGTCGAAGCCAGCACTATCGAAGAATGCCCTCTGCTCAGGCTGGAGGCAGGCAGGTGTCCAGAGGTGGCTTTTCGTCCACAGGCCAAAGGGAGTACTGAGACATTGTGGCCAGCATGACGTGATCCAATAGAGTTTGGTCCAGGTCTCTGGAGCTGAAGGTGTTCAGAAGATTGGAGAGGGTAGGCCTGTGACCCAGCTGGAAACTGCTGCAGTGGTCTAGGCAGGAGATGACAGTGGCCTGGTGTGGCCCAACACTCCCCATCACGCTGTAGCTGTAACTCTCTATTTCAGTTGTGTGTACCCTGTTCCAGGATTCACTCTGGGAGGAAAGGACAGCAGGCATATTCTTGTTCATAGCTGAACCCACCCAGCCTTTAGCACGGGACCTGACACATATAAGCCCTCAGGAAGGACTTGTGGAGTGATGGACTCTGCAGTATGTGCTCGGGGTAGGGGGACTGAGAAGCTGGTGAGGCCACTCAGAACCAGGTTCTAAAGGCCTTGTGTCACGTGGGGCTGGGAAACAAACTTCTCCCAGGGTCTGGGGTAGACTTTCAGCCTACCCACGGTTTCAGGGAGTTTCCTCCAGCAGCAGCCACACGGCTCTAGCTGGCAGGGCTCCTCTGTGCTCGCCCTAGGAGCTGTGAGGATGTCACACCTGCTGGGCAGCCAGGCCTGCATGGACAGCCTGCGCAACGACCTCACCGACCTGCAGGGTGCCATCGTAGACGTCTTCTCCCACGCTGGGCCCGTGCGCTTCCCCTCCTGGAAGTTCCCTGATCGCGTGGCCTGTGACATTGACATGGTGGCCCTGCTGGAGCACTATGACCATGTTCCAGGTGACCCTGAGTTCACACAGCTGTCCCATGCTGTGCTGCTGGAGCTGGTCATCGACAGGTGAGGGCCTTGACCAAACCTGGTCATCTCAGGATGCTGGTACCTGCCCCTGAAACCAGTGGCAGCTGCAGAAGCCCCTCCAGAGGCGGGGGTGATGTTGGTAACACAGTTACCATTGAACCTGTCGGAGCCACATCGGCTTCGGACTTTCAAAGTGGTCAAGTACTTTTATCATGTATCTTGTGTTGTGTGCTGTGCTATGCCGTGTTAGGCTAGCCTAGCCTAGCCTGTCCACCTCAGGCAGTTGATTTCTACTCCATTGGTTTCTGTTGCACCACAGCTGTGACCTGGGCCTCTCAGCCACTCCCAGCTGCCTCCTCAGGGTTTCTGTGTCCGGGACACCATAGTTGCTTCTCACAGTTTCCATCCCAGGCTCTCTTTCCTGTTGTCCTGTGGGTTGTGCTGTTCCCTCTGCATATCACAAGGCCAGACACAGGATGCGTTTTTCCAAATCATAACCCTCTGGGAAGAGCCTCGTGGATTCTCCTGCAGCCCCATCACTTCTAAAGTTAACATGGTTGGCTGGGCACGGTGGCTCACGCCTGTAATCTCAGTGCTTTGGGAGGCCAAGGCAGCCGGATCACTTGAGGTCAGGAGTTCAAGACCACCCTGGCCAACATAGTGAAACCTTGTCTCTACTAATAATACAAAAATTAGCTGGGCATGGTGGTGCGTGCCTGTAATTCCAGCTACTCAGGAGGCTGAGGCAGGAGAATCACTTGAACGTGGGAGGCAGAGGTTGTAGTGAGCTGAGATCACACCAATGCCCTCCAGCCTGGGTAATGGAGTAGATTCTGTCTCAAAAAAACACAACAAACAAAAAAAATGACATGGTGTGTTGGGCATGGTGGCTAACACCTGTAATCCCAGCATTTTGGGAGGCCGATTGGGAGGATCATTTGAGAGTTCGAGTCTAGCCTGAGCAACAAAGGGAGACCCCATCACTATAAAAATAGTTTTAAAATTAGCTGGGTGTGTTGGTGCATGCCTTTTTTTTTTTTTTTTTTTTTTTTGAGACAAGAGTTTTACTCTTGTTGCCCAGGCTAGAGTGCAGTGGCACGAACTTGGCTCACTGCAACCTCTCCCTCCTGGGTTAAAGAGATTTTCCTGCCTCAGCCTCCCCAGTAGTTGGGATTACAGGTGCCTGCCACCACTCCTGGCTAATTTTTTGTATTTTTAGTAGCGACAGGGTTACACCATGTTGACCAGGCTGGTCTTGAACTCCTGACCTCAGGTGATCCACCTACCTTGGCCTCCCAGAGTGCTGGGATTACAGGCGTGAACCACTGTGCCCAGCCGTTGTGTGCCTATTGTCCCAGCCACTTGGGAAGCTACTAAAAATATAAAAATGAGCTGGGCATGGTGGTGCACGCCTGTAGTCCCAGCTACTCAGGAGGCTGAGGCAGGAGAATTGTTTGAACTTGGGAATTGGAGGTTGCAACGAGCTGAGATTGTACCGCTGCACTCTAGCCTGGGCAACAAAGCAAGACTCTGTCTCAAAAAAAAAAAAACAAACCCAACATAAAACCAACCTTAAAGCCCTGAAGGCCAGACAGGTGATAGAAAATGTGAGAGGGACTTCAGTCTCCAGTGGTTTCAGGATGAACTGCTCAGGGACAGAGAAGCCACTCTGAGGCCAGGAGGAGCCCTTGGTACAAAAGCACCATCTGTAACCTCTGAGTGGCTGAATGATGAGCACAGAACACACCTCCTTTCCTCCATGACTTTATGCATTACACTGTCCCTCTGCTAGGAATGCCCTGCCCATCTGTCATGGCTAGGTTTACCCACCCCCTTCTCCGTGAAGCTGTCGCTGACATGCCCTCTGCCCTGCCTGACCCCTCTGCCTACCTCTGTCTGAGTTAAAGCCTCCTCTGGGCTCCTGTGTGTATAAGTAATTCCTGGCAGAGGCTGCTGGGTGAGACCTAGACCAGCCTGTGAACCCTGGAGTCTGGGGCCCTGGCCTCCACCACATGGTGTAGCACTGAGCTGCTCAGTTCATGGCAGGGATGGGATCACGGCTAAGGCTGCAGACAGCAGCACCGCAGTCTCCCACTGCTAGGGTCGGTCCGTCTGGGCAGACGGATTGCCCTGTCAGGGTCATGATGTGTCCTCTTTTCAGGTGCTTCTCCCTTCCCTGGTGTTGCCTGGCACCATGGCAAGTGCTGTTGTCCATGTTTGCAGAGGAGGACACATTGGTCAAAGAGGGGCAGAGCCTGGAGGCGGTTGGCACCTCCTCCCCCAGGCCCTTTCTACCCAAGGCCCCACAGGGTTTGGGAAGAGTCCGCTGCACCTGCAACAAGCTAATTTCACTTATCTTCCTGGTGCGTGTTGTCAACACAATACTTCTTTAAAATAGCTCGGTTCCCATGCAAATGCAAACTTAGCTTTTTATTATAATATTGTGTTTTCTTATAATTCACACCTGACTCTAATTTTGAACTTAGAGGTTAGGACAGAGACCTAGCTGTCGTGACGCAGGTCCCCACTGTTGCAGAAGCAGCTCACCCTGCAGAAGCCCTTGACTAGCCTCAGGAGACTGTGCACACACTGCACTCTGCCTTATCAACCTATGGCTGTGGGCAAGCTCCTCCCCTCTCCTGGTCTCAGCTCTGTCATCTGTCAGAGGCTCTGGGTCACTGGATGCAGGGCAGCTGTTCACCCAGCACTTTTCAAGGACTCAGGGTACAACTGAGGTAAGGCTAGGCTCGGCTTCACAGTGAGCCCTGGTCCAGTGGAGAAGAGCCAGGCAGAAGTGCCACCCAGGAGACCCAGCAGAAGCTCCCAAGCAGAGATTAAGGCCAGGGATGACTTCCTGGAGGAAGCAGCCCCTGGGTTAGGTTTGAAGCTGGCCCAGCAGAGCGTATTCTGAGACTCTCCAAGTCCCTGATGTCTGGGCCAGTTCCCCAGAGCCAGGGCTGCAGTTGTATGGTCTGAGGGTACATTGGCACCAGCCAGGGCCCCAGCAATCTGGCATTTCTGCCCACAGGCTCCTGCTACTGCTTCAAAGCTGCATGAGCTACTTGGAGAACCTTGGCTCAGAGCAGATGATGCCCCCCACGCGGGCTGCGGGACCCTGCATGTCCGTGGGGCTCACGGTGCGGCGCTTCTGGGACAGCCTGCTGAGGCTGGGCATGCTCCACCAGCAGGCGCTCCCCCAGGTAGGTCCCAGCCTCTGTCTCCCTACTGTGGTGGCCTTCACACCTCGCCACCACTCTGGCTTCCTAGCCTACCACCGTGTGCACCGCAGCCTTCACTGGCCTCCACCACCCTCCCAATCAAGGCCCACACAGTGTGGCAGTTAAGAATTCAGGCCTTGGGTGGTCATGCCTTGCTCTCTGGCTCTGATGTCCCTGTGGGACTTTGGAAAAATCCTGCGTCCTCTGAACCTCAGTTTCTTAATCTGAGGTTCAGACAGCGGAGGTCATGTGAGCCCCGTTTGTTACGGGCTATCCCATAATCCACACAGGCACCCACTGGGGAAGGGCCACTGTCACCATGATGGGGAAGAAACTAAAACTGAGAGTGGCTATGGTGACATGAAAGCAGGCACATCCACTAAGCAAGAGCCCAGTAACCAGCAGCTGCGACCATCACCATCGCCCTCCCAACGCCATGCATACAATCAGATCAAGCCTGGAGTTTGGGGTATGGGCCTTAGAGAGGAGGCCTGGGTGTGGTAAGTTAAGTCAGAGAAAAAGAGGGAGAAAGTTCTCTCTTATTTACATTGGTGTCAGAAAACATCTGAGGGTCTGAGTGTCAGGTAAGGCTGTCACACTGTCACAGAACATGCCCAGGGAACCAGTCGCCTCCCTCCATTTTCTCTCACCTGGTTTCCCTTTTCTTTTTCTGAACACAGAAAGGGGCAAACCAAAGGGAGACCCCTACCTCCAAGCCCACTGCCAAGGACGAGCCAGCCAGGAGCCCTGAATGTCTGACTGCCAAGTTCATCAAACCCTCCTCCCCAATGCCAGGCTTGCCCCAGACCTGCCAAGACCCAGAGAGCATCCCCGTCAGACCCTCCCTGCAGTGTCCAGCCACGGCCTCCAAGAACACCAGGAGTGTTTACTCCCAGACCATTGAGACGGCCCTGGTGCCCTGTGACGCGTGTGCCAGCGTCCAGGGAAGCCTGTCGAAGGTGGGCAAGGTGGTCATCAGCCTGTGTCAGAGCCAGAACTTACCCTCGTCCTTAGGCCAGTTCCAGCAACTGGTGCAGGACAGCATGGGGCTCAGGCCACTGCCAGCTGCCACAGTGGGCCGCTGGGCAGCAGAGCAGAGCAAAGACCTGATGCGCCTCAGTAAGCATGTGGAGGCCCTCAGGGCCCAGCTGGCAGAGGCTGAGGAGCGGAAGGATGGCCTGAGGAAGCAGGTGTGCAAGCTGGAGCAGGCGCTGAAACAGGAACAGGGGGCACGGCGGCGACAGGCGGAGGAGAATGAGCAGTGCCTGGCTGAGTGGGAGCATGACAAGCAGCAGCTGCTCGAAGGTCTGTGCCCCAGAGGCTGGACGCCTGGTGCCCAGGGGCTCTGCCACAGCCTTTGCAGGGGTGCATGAGACAGGGATTTCAGGGCAAGTGGTTTGTGTGGAGGAAACCCAGGCTGGGGCACAGGCAAGAGGCAGGGAAGGGAGGGCAGCAAGGAAGCGTGTGTTCATCCGGCGTTGACACTGCAAGCTCAGTCCCGCTGGGGCCACCAGGAGCCGGGCTAGGATGCTTGCCCAGACTCGTCCCTCAGTCGGGGAGGGAGCTGGGGTAGGTATCCACTTGCACTGTCAATCATTGAGGGCTACTTCCAGAGAGTTATTCCCCTGGCACTTCCAGCCAAGCAGAGCAGCCTCTCTGGTTTTGGCAAAAGCCATCAGAGACTCAGTTCCTGGCACTAGAAGTTGGCCAGTGCCTACTGATATGAGGTCTGAGGGATTTGCCCTTTCTGAGCCTCACGGTTGCCTCCATGTATGATACCAAGGCCCAGAGAGGTGCAGACACATGGCAGCCAGCCCATGAGAAGCAGGGTGGACGAGGGCCCAGCCCCCTCCACCAACTCCCCAGAACTCCTCCCACAACCACAGGCGGCTCCTCTGCAGGCAATGGGCTGCCTCCATTGCACAGGGCACACTGGGCATGAAGGTCACCGGCCAGGCCCATGGGACCCTCTGAAGGGCCTCTCTCTTGGCTGCCATAGAAACAAGTGACCTAAAGACAAAGATGGCCACCTTGGAGAGGGAACTGAAACAGCAGCAGGAGTCCACGCAGGCTGTGGGTAAGGAGCCCCGTCCTAGGCCCCCATGCCACATCTCAAGCTAGTCGTGTGGCTGGATGAGCATCGTCTGTCTCTGTCCCCTGAGCATCCAGGGCAAAGATGAAGGGAACCAGCCACAGGAGGGTGGGCCTGGCCAACCACCCTGCTGGGCAGTGGCCAAGCTGGGGTGCCACCTCCCACCCAGAAAGCACCTTCTGTTTTCTAGACCCACCTCAGGCAGGGTCTAGATCCCATTTTGTGGCTGAGGACTCTGAGGCCCAGAGATGTGATCTCCCGCTTGGGTCCCGTCCGGGGTCTGAGGTACTACAGCACTCCCCTGTCCTACCCCATCCCACACCTGCTCAATGCTGCAGAGGCAAAGGCCCAGCAGCTGCAGGAGGAAGGCGAGTGCAGGGCGGCGGCGGAGAGGCAGGTGCAGCATCTGGAGGAGCAGGTGCAGCTGCTGGTGGGGCAGCTGGAGGGCGCCAGCCAGCAGATCTGCTGGGCCAGCAAGGAGCTGGACAAGGAGAAGGCCCGTGTCGACAGCATGGTCCGCCACCAGGAGGTGAGGCCAGGGCCCTCACCAGCCTGGGAACCCACAGCATAGGCTGCAGGGAGACAGGGCTGTGCTGGCAGGGAATAGGGGCTCATCTGTTTGGGCATCTGCTCCCCGAGATACCTCCAGGTGTGGGGTTGATTCACCCTCACAGAGAGTCTGCCCTGAGCCAGGCACTGGGGAACAGTGACCTAGGGACAGGTACTCCCTAATGAGGCCTCACTCTGGAGGAGTGCCCCACAGGGAAAGATGAGCAGATATGCCACACTCTCCTGCCAGATGGCTAAGGGGTGCAGGGGGGCATGACCACATCAGCTATCAGCCAGTGGAAGGATAGGGCAGGCAGAGGGTGAGCCAGGGCCCCGGGCACAGCTGTGTTCTGGGCAGTGGGGCCTTGCGGGAGTCCTCAGAAGCATGGTTGAGGGAATAGGTGACCTGTTGCCCAGTGAAGGGGGCAGGTCTGGGGCTTCCCTGGCTGGGCTACCCTCAGAAGCTCAGCAAGAGCCAGGGAGTTCAGCTGAGAGTCCCCAGGGTCAGGCATGGGCCCAGGACAGGGGAAGCTCTGTGTGCCCTGCAAACCGTCACAGCCCCGTGTATCAGGTGTCTGCTGTGACCCAGCCACTGGCTTCTGGCTCCACAGCCTCTGATGCTTACTCCTTGCTACAGCAGGAGGCAGATACTCTTGTCACCCCTACTTTACGAATGAGGAAATGCAGCCTTACTGAGGTTAAGGAAGTTGCCCAAGGTCACATGCTAGCGAAAGGTGGAGCCAGGGCTCGGAGCAGACCGGCGCTAGTTCTTCCTGCTTTCCCTTCAGTGGGCATTAGGAAGTGTGGGCTTCAGTGGTGGGGGGTGATGTGACACTGGAGACCCAAGGAGAAGAAAAACTTAGTTCCCAGAATTCCTCTCCACGTGGGGTCTACGTGTGACTGGAAGGAAGTGGGGGTGAGACCCCCAGAGCCAGCCAACTGTGTTCCAAGGGCCAGGGTCTTTAAGTTGGGGGTCTTGGCCTTGACCAGATGTGCATCTGCCTGCTGCCGGCTTCCCCCCACCCCTGCCCTTCCACATGTGTGACCAGCATTCCCTAGACACACATGAGGGAGCAGGGATGGGAGTAGTAGATGCTGTAGCCTCCTTAGTTCCATGTGGCTGGGCCTACCCTGTGGGTCTCACAGCCTCCCTGCTTGTCCATTCCTGCTTAGTCCCTGCAGGCCAAGCAGCGAGCCCTGCTAAAGCAGCTGGACAGCCTGGACCAGGAGCGTGAGGAGCTGCGGGGCAGCCTGGATGAGGCCGAGGCCCAGCGGGCCAGTGTGGAAGAGCAGCTGCAGAGCGAGCGAGAGCAGGGGCAGTGCCAGCTCCAGGCCCAGCAGGTGAGGGTGGGTGTCTTCCCTTTTGCCAGAGAAGCTTCTGGTCAGCTGAGTGCCAGCAGGCCTGTCTTGTGTCTTGGGGGTAGGGATGGTGCCCCAGGGGTCCTCAGTGCCATGTGGCTCACTCAGGAGCCAGGCCTGAGCCTCTTCTGCCCCAGGAGCTGCTGCAGAGCCTGCAGAGAGAGAAGCAAGGCCTGGAGCAGGTGACTACAGACTTGCGGCTGACCATCCTGGAGCTGGAGCGGGAGCTGGTAGAGCTGAGGGAGCGGGAGCGGCTGCTGGTGGCCTTCCCAGACCTGCACCAGCCCACCGAGACCCAGATCCATGGTAGGGGACTGGGGATGGTGCCAAGGGCATGCCAGGGCTCAGGACCGGCAGCTGAGGGCTCGTGGGCAGGACACTGGGGTCTGCAGCTCCCAAGCCTATAGCAAGGGTGGTAAAGCCAGGCGGCCAGCAGTGCAGCCCTGTGGACCCACCACAGTATGCAAGCACTTCATGCATTATCCACTCTGTGCAGACAGGGACGTGAAAGTCTAATAGTGATGTGACTGCCTCTAGTCACGACAGCCAAATCCAGACATAGGTGGTTGTGCCTGCAGCCCATGCTCTTCACCACGTCACATGCCAGTCCTCGCTCAACTTGCCTGTGTCCCCCTTCTTGGTCCTTGGAATGGGTCCCCAAACCACACCATGGGACTAGTTCCACTGACAGCCCCCAGCTGCCTGCTGTCCTGGACCCTATGGCACAGAAGTGCTAGGTACCCATCTTGGCACAGGATTGGATATCAGGTGACCTGGGTTCTCCCAGCCCCTCCAGCCCCCTAAAGTGCTGGGGCGAATCCATTCACAGAGCTGGCAGGAAGATCTGCTGCAATTTAGCTGCCATAAGACGTCATCCAGGCCCTTCTGTCCCCTTCTCACCCACTCTGTGAGGCAGGTCATAGCCCCTTTTTACAAAGCAGGAAACTGAACCAGAAGGGGCAGCAATTCTCCCAGGCTCATGGAGCCAGAAGGAAGCATCCATCACAAAAGCAGGGGAGAGAGCAGCCTTGCCGAATTCCTGCCATTCCCACCCTTGAGCTGGCTGTGACCTTGGACAGCTCATTTTGTCTCTGGCCTGTCTGAAACGGGGCCTAGGAAGAAATTCACTCTTCTGCTTATTTGCCAAGTCTTTTGAGAGCTCTAGGCCCCACCCAGCTCTGAAATTTTATATAATAGTCATCTTCCCAGCAGGTAGGGGGACAGGGAGGTGGGAACAAGGCTTCAGGAAAAGGAAGGTGAGATGGGAGGCCTGGTATACTAATAGCTCCCTTGGGCCAGGTGCCAGGCCACCCACCCAAGCTGCTATGCCTCCCTCCTAAGGTCCTGTCCCACTGGGCACAGGAGGCAGATCGAGCAGGGTGGAGTCCCAGATACCATGTCCCATAGACTCTGGCAACGTCACAGATCACATGGAGAGGCAAGTGCAGGCCAACGACATCCGCATCCGGGTCCTACAGGAGGAGAACGGGCGGCTCCAATCAATGCTGTCCAAAATCCGGGAAGTGGCCCAGCAGGGTGGCCTCAAGGTAGGCCTGAGAGGGCAGGCCCTTGGGGAACAGGAGGAAGCCCCTACCCAGCAGAGGTCTTCAGACTCTGCCCCAGGAACTTATGGGAGCCCACCTCATTGCACGAGGCCTTAGGCTGTGCTTTTGTGAAACATTTTTCACATTTCTAGAAGGCGTGAGGATGTTTAGGATCCAGTGCCTTCCAATCCCATATCCTCTATAGCCCTTCATGCCTTTAAGTGCAACAAGAAGCCTTGTCAGGCCAGGCGTGGCGGCTCATGCCTGTAATCCCAACGATTTGAGAGGCCAAGGCAGGCAGATCACTTGAGCCCAGGAGTTTGAGACCAGCCTGGACAACATAGTGAGACCCTGTTTCTACAAAAAAAAAAAAAAAAAAAAGCCATGCCAGAAAGAAACCTCCCCACACTTGCTGTCTGCCTGAGGTTTTGCAGCTGAGAATAGGCCCTAGAAGGCTTCCTAGGCCCCGCCCCAGGTGGAAGGGCTTGTGGGTATGCGTTCAGGCCTTCCTTCGTCATCCCTGATTACAACACCCTCTCTGTACAGTGGGGAGGGGACTCCTGGGCCCTTCTAAGACCGGCTTTTTTTTTTTTTTTTTTTTTTTTTTTGCAGCTGATCCGACAGGACCAGCTCTTGTCCCTTTCCAGCAAGGGAACTCCGGGAGCAACACCGCCAGTCCAGACCCAGAGCACATCCCCAGGGTGAGTGAGGCTTTACCAGAGGCAGGGCAGGTAGGTGGAGCATCCCCCCCACTCACAGAGGATCTTGGATCTGGTTTTCCTTCAGGCCCCTGGGCAGACAGCACCTTCCTGGCAGCAGGATGGACAGGACCCTGCCCAGCCAGCCCCGCACCTCTCCACCTCAGCAGCCCCGCACATCCCCACCTCAGCAGCCCCGCACCTCTCCACCTCAGCAGCCCCGCACATCCCCACCTCAGCAGCCCCGCACCTCTCCACCTCTGCAGCCCCGCACCTCTCCACCTCAGCAGCCCCGCACCTCTCCACCTCAGCAGCCCCGCACCTCTCCACCTCGGCAGCCCCACGCATCCCCACCTCAGCAGCCCTGCAGCCAGCCCAGCAAGTCCTTGCTGGAGGATGTGACCCACTCGGCCACCTCTACCCAGAGCCCCATCAGGGCCTTGGTCAGGCTGAAGAGGAGACTGTCACCTGGCTGGGGCCAGGCCGGCTCTGCACACCAGCCCCAGGAGCGGCCCATGTAGCCTGTGGTAGGGCTGGGGCTAGATGGCAGGTGGCTGGCAGCTCCCACTGTAATAAAGGCCCAGCCAATCGCCCACAGCAATCTTGGCCTCACAGTACGGCTGAGCTGGGGAAAGAGTCCTTCCTTCCCTGTCCTGGGCAGGGGCCACTGAGTCCCCAGCCATGTAGGTCATCAGCCAGCAGAGTCCTAGCCCTATTGGCCCTCAGTAAAAGGGGCCTTCCTGCTTCCCTCCTGACAGAGACTGTGGGATAGGAGAGTACACCCAGGGCAGAGAAAGCTCCTAGGACCTGGCCCAGGTGAAGGGCCGTCTTTCTATCCCCAGAGCAAGGGCCCAGGGGTGAACCTGGGCTCAGTGTCTTGCACAGACTCAGATGGGTGTCAGGTGAAGGTGGACAGAGGAAGGGCCATTGAGGACTTCTGAGGCAGGCAGAGGGGAGCGATGCCTTCAGCCTCCCACCCTGGCTCTGGACCTGCACTGGTTACATTAAGGACCCACGAGGTAAGCCTCCTTTCACTGAGGAACTCCTCTCCTTTAGGAAATGGTGCCCATCATGAAGGTTTCTCCAACTTCTGGAGGTCAGAGTCCAGGAGGCCACTGAAGGCAGGGCAAGGCCTCCCTCAAGCAGAGGACATCCTCCCAGCCCTGGCTGTCCCGTGCCTGTCCCTTGCCCCCCTCCCCAGCCCAGGATGCCATGCAGCCGAGCATCTGGGGCTCCCGTTTTCCTCATGAAGCCACCAGTCTGCCCTGAGCCACTTGCCTGTGAAGGACGGTCTCCAAAAACTTGCTGAGGCCTTCTCAGTGTGCACGCTCCCAGGTGCCTGAAGCATTTTTCCTTGGTGAAGAGGCCGTCAGAGCACCTCAGTTCACAGAGGAGGGTCAAGAGGGTCCATGGTCAGCCTAATTTCCTGCTTCTGAGGGGCCCAGGCACCCCCCTCACAGGGGAGCACCAGCCCTCAGCACCCTGAGCCAGGAGGCCTGTGGCCAAGTCCAGGGGAACGACCTCACAGCTGAGCAACTCTCTCAGGCCGCCACCAATTTCATACCCGTGTATTCATTAGCTCCCAGTTCTGGAGGTTAGAAGTCTAGGTTCCGTGTGGCCGGGTTTTCTGCTAAGGGTCCCAGAAGGTTGAAATCGAGGCATCTACCAGGCTGTGTTCCTTTCTGCTGGCTCTGGGGAAGAATCCACTTTCAAGCTCATTCCACTTGGTGGCAGAATTCCGATCCTTGTGGCCATGGGACTGAGGTCCCCATCTCCTTACTGGCTGCTGTAGGCCAGCTCCTGCCTCACCACCTAGAGGCTGCCCACTTTCCTTGCCATGGGGCTCCCTCCATCTTCGAGTCAGCAACAAAGAATTTCTTAGGCACCGAATCCCCCACATGCTTTAAATCCCTGACTTCCTCCTCTTGTACCAGGAGAAAACAACTTTTAATGGGCTCATGTGGTTAGGCCAAGGCCCACTCAGTACTTTCCCTTTCTTCAGGTCAATTTGCCGTACCACATAACCCAACCATGAGCATAAAATCCCTTAGTCACAGTTCCAGAGATTAGATTAATACAGGGCATGTTCATGGTGGGTTGGCAGTGGGAATCTTGGGGGCCATCTTAGAATTCCATTTACCACAGGCAGTAGAACCTAAGGTGACTTTTTAAATCTTAAAACACCCGTACACATTTTACATCTTATGTTAAAATATAGCCATGTTTATTTTACTATTAAACCTTCCCTACCCCAACTCTTTTAAAAAAAAAATGGATGCCCCTTATTGATGCACCACATTGATCCTGTGAGTTGAGTGTCCCGGTCAGCAGCACAAAGCTGCAGCCAAGGAGTCCAGGACAGGATGGTTTCTAAGGCCTCTGGTCCTAGCTAGGCCCAGGAAGGGAGCCAGGCTGGACAGGCAGCAGGACCCGTGGCTCCCGGCACCCAAGGACCAAGGGCAACAGGCAGACAGCCTTGACAAAGACATATCCCAGAAAATGGTCAGGCCAGGGTATCCCAAGGCCAGACAGCTCTTCCCTCAACCCACCCTCCAATAAATAAGCACGCAGCCTGGCCACTGCAGTCTCAGCCCCCAGGGATTCCCTGAGAGGCCACAGGGAGCTCCCCGAACCCTGGGGACAGCCGCACTGGCCCCATATTCTCTTTTCCTATTAACCTGGGAGCTGCCTGTGAGGAGGGCAGACTCTCGTCCCAGGATTACAGAGAAGGTCCCAAAGTGACCTCTTCCTTGACTGACGGGTCCCGGCCCTAGATCCTCAGTCTGAAGCTGTGGGGCTCTCCTTCCCAGTGTGGACATGGTGGGGCCCTCATCCTTCCACCCACTGGGCCTGCTATCCCGTCCGTCCTGCTGTCCCATCCTGTCCTGTCCTGGGAACCCAGGCTGAGGACCGAGGTGCAGGCAGGAAGGGTCCGTCCCCATGTGCAGCGTCCAGCAGGGCAGTTAATCGTCGGAGTAGCGGTTCCCTGCAGGGGAGGGGAAGAACAAGGGAGGGAGGCATCAGGTGAGGAGCAGGTGGAGTAGGCCGAGGGCCCCCACCCCTGGTGCTTACCCAGGACGTTGAATTTGCACAATGGGCAGGTCTGCTGCAGCATCAGCCAGGGGTCCACACAGTCTCGGTGAAACTCGTGCTTACAGGGCAGCACTCGGAGCCACTACAGAGGTTGGGGAGGAAGGGCTCAGGCCATCGAAGCAGGACTCCACATGGGGTGCCTGGTCCCATGCCCCTCGCCTCAGCTGGGGAACTGAAACCTCATGGCTTCCCCACACCCCCAAATTCTGCTCTATAGCCCTGGCGGCTGGAAGAAGGGACTGTTAGGGGTAGTTCCAGGGTCTCGGGAATAAGGTGGGAGGCATCACAGGTGAGCTGATGGCTGCTGGTCTCTACCCGGGGCACTAGCCTGCTTGTTGCAGAAGTAGTCCAGGCACACAGCACAGGTCTCAGCACCCAGCTCTGGGAGGCCCTGTGCTGCCCTGCTCAGCCGGCAGCGCCGTGTCTTGAGGGATGCCAGTCTCCGCACCACGCGGCGCTTGAACAGGTCCACCTGTGGGTAGAGAACAGGCACGGTCTCACAGGCCCAGGGGCTCATGGCACTGGGGCTCCCTGGGGCTGGCTCCCACCTGGCCTCCGAGCTCCCGCTGGCTCTGCCGCGATGCCTGCCGCTGGGCCTGGACCACGAGGCCTGTGCACAGGAGCATGGCCACCAGCAGGATGGCATTCCACAGCTGCTGCAGGGGCTTCTGCGGAGGGAAGCAGTCATCAGGGACATGGGGCCGCCCCCACATGCTTCCCTCAGGAACATCCACCCCCAGGAGCACCAGGGAGCAGGCAGGTGAAGGGTGCTGAAGACCACTGTGTCCCTGCAGTCCCTGGCTTCCTCTTCTGAAGGCTCCATTCCTCCCCGTGTGCTCCTCAGGGTCCGCTGCTGCTGCTCTCGCTCTGCCCTACACGTCTCCCCATCCAGCTCCAAGGACAGCCACGTCCATTCCCAGCCCAGGGCTGTCCTGGGCAACAAACCTGATGTTTTACACTCACAGAAGCCTCTATCTGGTAGCCTCAGAGACTCCCCAACCCAGCACCCAGCAAACCAGCACCCAGCCTGGGACCCACTCACTCTCCCACCTGCATCCTCCTGCACTTCCTCCTGGTCGGCTTTCTCAGGCCCTGCCATCACCCACTCACCCATCCAGGCTGAGTATTCACACCCCCCCAGTACGGGAGGGAGCCAGCCCCCAAGGCCTGTTGCTTTGTTCTCCTGGGGGGGTCTCTCACACCCTCCTTGCCACCATTTACCACCCACAGCCAGAGGGCTCTCCCCTGCACCCCAGGCCCCGCAGCTCCCCTGCCTGAGCTCCTTCCCTGGAGTGTCATCTGCCTCCTCTCAGCGTTCTGTGCTGCCGGCTCCCTCCTGTGTCTGTGCCTTTCCACACTGTTCCTGTCTTGAAAATCCTTTTCCACCTCGCCCCTTTCCTCGGCTACTGCCTCTACTTGCTCTAGAAGCTCCCTGATCTCTATGGCTGGGCAAATACCCCCGCCCAACCTACCGCTGCCCAGCCCTCCCCACACCTGCTCTACCCAGCGTTCCCTTGCAACTGCCCTTGGTCTGTGCGCTCCCATCAGTGGGAGGCAGCCGCAGCTGATGTGCTCACCACTCTCACCCAGTGCCTCCCGCCGGCTTTGTGGAATGAGTGAATTTGGAAAAGAAGCATGACTGAGAGGACACTTTAAAACCTGGGGGCCCTGGGCAGCCTCACAGTGACTCAGGGAACCACAATGACCTTGACTCAACTCAAGATGTGGTGTGGCTGCTGGGCTTAGAATACTCAACAGCTGGATCAGGAGATGGTGCTGCGGAGTAAGCAAAACACGGCACGACCCTCCGAGGTGCGCCTCTGCACAGGGTCTGCGTATGTGTGTGACTAATACACTCGTTCACTTCAAAGCTCTCTCTTCCTGACCAATGCCGAAGTTCATCTACTGCCATGTGGGGAAGAGGGGCTGAGAGACGGCCTGATGTGAAGAGGCCACTGCTCTAGACAAGCCTGAGTGCTGCTCACGCCACGAGCCGTTCCTCTGTCCAGAGTGGAGGTGTTCTGGGGGCCCTCACTGGGAAGCATCTGTGAGCCCCAGCTTGCCTTTCCATCCTGCCCCTTCTTTCCTCCAGCTGCAGCTGGGAGTGCCACCTGTTCTAGGAAGTTGTCCCCAAGCCCTAGGCTGAGTGCCTTTATTATGCCTTAGAGGGTCCTGGGCCCACCACCAACTCTGCTCACCCCAGCAGAGTGACAGCATGTCTCTGGCCTATCTGCCCTCCAGATTAGGCGCCCATGAGCCCAGGGCTGGAGCAGCCCACGTTGGCCAACACCTGCTGGGGGCTGTACCAGAAGACTGGGGCATCACTGCCTGGCAGAGAAGTGACTCGAAATACTTGTGGACAGAAAACCCTTGATGCCAAAGGTTAGAAATCCAGGGATGATAAAACACAGCCCTGGCCATCAGGAGACAAAGTGACGCTCCCCTGAGCCCCATGCCAGAACTGAGTGGCCATGACAGCGTAAGCCTCAGAGCAGCCAGCTGGGTGGGCTGAAGGTACGGCTAGCCTGAAGCTCTGGTGCAGGCCAGAGACCCAACCTGTCCAGGCTCATGCGGAGACCCAGCCTGCCCAGGCTCAGTGCATGCTGGGGAGCCCTATGTGCGCCAGGTTCAGTGCATCCTGGAGAACACAGCTTGAGCTCCAGGTGAAGATGGAAGGCAGGATGGGGTTTGGCATCAGAGCAGTAAGGACTGTTCATTAGCCAGGCATGGTGGCTCATGCCTGTTATCCCAGCACTTTGGGAGGCCACGGTGGGAGAATTGCCCAAGCTCAGGAGTTCGAGACCAGTCTGGGCAACAAAGTGGAACCCCATCTCTACAAAAAATATAAAAATTAGCAAGACATCATGGCATGTGCTTGTAGTCCCAGCTACTTAGGGGGCTGAGGTGGGAGGGTCCCTTGAACCCAGGAGGTCGAGGCTGCCGTGAGCCAGGATGGTGCCACTGCTGTTCATCAGACCTTCCTGATACATGGGTGCTACTGCTCTGGAATCTCAGAGGCTAGAGGGATGGTGACTGGGCCCTGGGGTCAGGACTGAGAGCCTGATGCCCATCAGGCCAGCCACTGAGATGCCTACCCCAACCACCCTTCAGACACCTCAGCTGCTTTGACCACCCAATACTTGGGTTGGGACCACCTTGACCCTGGCCTGTAGCCTGGCCAAGCTGCTCAGCTCTGCTCTCTGGAGCAGCCAGAGCAACCTGCAGACTGTGCACAGCCCCACCTCAGGCCTCTCGCTGATGCCTGCTCTGTCCAGAGGCCTGTGTGGGCCACCCATGACGGGGATACGCAGTGTACCGTCCCTGTTCGCAAAGGGACACGAGGCCACAGCGGAGAAACTCCCAGCCTGAGATCAGTCAGCTAAGGTTTCTGAACCAGGATTTGACCCCAAGATCGCCCATCTTGAAGCTGCCCTGCACGGTCCACATTGGCCAAACGCCTGCTGGAGGCTGCACACCAGGAGACCGAGACGTGACTGTGGGACTCAAGAAATGCTTGTGGACCGAATACCCCCGAATGGCCTGACGCCAAGTGTTGGAAATCCAGAGACGATAAAACACCGTCCTGGCTGTTGGGACAGTGATGTGCCCCATCACATGCAGGATAGGCTGTCCTGAGAAGCCCAGGAAAGGCCTGACCACGCCTTGCTGTGATACAGAAGAGGGAGAGAGGGGACTTCAAGCTGGGGTGCGAGGGAGGCTTTCCAAAGAAGGGTGGCAGGGTGAGCTGTGAAGGTTCTAGCTAGACTAGGACATGTGGACACGGAGAGAAAGGTTGTCCATGTCTACAGCTAGGCATAGACAAGGCCCAGTGGCAGAAGGCCAGGGTATGTGTGGTCACTGGCACAGGGTAGCCAGAGCATAGGAAACAGGGCTAGAAAAACAGAGCGAGTGAGTAATGCAGAGCTGTGAAAGCCAAGTGAAGGGGCCTGAACTTTATTCTACAGGCAGTGGAATAAGGCTTCCCAATGCTGCAGGAGAACACCAGGACAGCAGCTAACATGCACTGCACGTGACCTGGCCCAGGCGCCCCACTAAGCGCTCACCTCACCATGTCTCTGAACACTCACGGCATTCCTGTGGGCTGGGAGAGGCTGTCCCTGCCACCAAGGCGGGGAGAAGCCATAGG